CCCCCCCCCCTCTCTCTCTCTCCCTCTCCTCTCCACCCCTTCTCTCCTTTCCCTTCTTTTCCTCTCTACCTCTCGAATTGTTTCATTAGCCCTGCTCCTCGCGGGAGAACATCCCTCCGAGTGACGATTTTCACACGCGAACGAATCGTCCGCGCGGCGGAGAGATATCGCTCGCGAGAGGTCGGTCGCGCGAAACGCGCGTTAGATCGGAACGGCCCGAGTGGTGGTGCGAGCGCCGGGCCGATGCAGATGAGGTGCGCGCAGGTACCCTTCCGGTCGCGCGCAGAGCCCGGTGTAATTACCTCTTTAAAAAAAACGCAATCTGAATGCAAATCCGTGGCAGCTGCGACCCGGAGCGCTTTCGGCATTTCCACCTACAACTATAGCCTCCTCTCCCCTGCCCCCTCCCCGTGACTCTCTCCCCTTCCCATGCCTTTTTTTCCGCGCTCCCTTCACCCACTCGCGGCCATAAAGCTCTGGCCCGGACGTGCGACCGTTAATTAAAACTTTACTTCCTGCTTTCGGTTTAACGAACACAAAAAAAGAATGTCCAGCCCGCGCGACCGATGAGGCGGATGTGTGTGCTTTTCGCGGGCGATTTTGCGCGCTAAAAGCCGTGAGCCCGGCCGCGATAATCTCCGACGGCGCGGGACCACTCCGGGAGAATCCCATGGGAAAGGCGTTACGTAACGCGCGAGTAATGGTGCGAGAAAATCGCCGTGCTGCAGTCGCGCAAAAACTTGTGTCCGACGAATGGTGAGTCTCGCGTGATTTCTCCGCGTCAAGATGCGCTGTCGATTTCAACTGCCGCGGAGATCTTCTCACTGAAAATTCTGCCGAGTTCCCCGCCGTCGATTTTTCTCGCGAAACCCGCGAGAGAACGGAACGGAAGCCCGAGAAGGAAACGACGAATCGGCGAGCTCTGCAAAAAAAAAAATTCGAAACAAAGTCCTCGCGACCCGAGGGGTTCATCGAGAGGGCGAAACACGGACTACTACGGAGGTATGAAGAAATTCAGCGCGCTATGAGAACCAGAGGGATGGTTTACGCGGCGCGGCGTCGCGACGTCGTCGTCGTCGTCGTTGGTGGCGGCGGCGGCGGCCTGTCAGACTGCACCGTCGGTGGCAGCTGGCCGTCGCGTCGCCCTTGGAATTTCCACGTAAATAAAATCTCCGGGAGAGCACGGTGCCTCTCGAACGCGAGAGGACGACGGCGGACGTAAAAAGGAGAAAGAGGCGGAAAGAACGGAGGGAGAGAAAGGGAAAAAGCGACGCGGCAGACACGTCGAGGACAACGACGACGACGACGACGATGCCGTCGCCGCCGCCGCCGAGGCGTTCGTTACGTTCGCATCGTCTCACGCCTCGGCGCATCCCCGACGTCGACGTCGAGATTCACCCGGTCGCAGCGGCGTAACGACGTGCACGACACCCCCTGTGTATGCACAGTGTCGTCGTGTACGTGCGCATCCGTGTGTGTGCGAGGCAGGACGAAACGGGGTGAGACGAAGCGAGGCGAGGCGAAGCGAAGCGAAGCGAGGCGGCAGCCTCTCGCGTAGCTCTCATGGCGCAGCAAGACGGCGATGTAATTGAAAACGAGACTCGGAGTAACTGCGATCGCTTTTTCATTACGCCGGCAATTAAAAGATACGCAGACACGCGGAACTGTTGTTTGCTCTGTCGTAGTAGTGCAAACTACATCGCGACTAATGATGACTTGTAATTTTCTTTGCCACACCTCCCAGTAAACACCAACTATTAGGGACGTAACATCAATGTTAGAGTTTCCCATTCAACATCGTAAATGTAAAATATGGTGTTACATGACAGTTATATCGTTGAGTGGGAAATTATATAACGTAGACTTAGTTACTATTAATTAATTTGGTTCTCTTTCCTCTTTGCGTGCCAGATGAAATATATACATGCTCCAAGAAGCGAGTAGCTATTAACAATTGAGGAAACACCGGAGTCGAAATCTTACCGACAAAGTGCTGATTTCTTTTTGCAAAGTTCATATTGCATCGGCCGCATGGAACTGCAATTGCTCTTACACAATACGCGCGGGAATGAATTGGAGCATTACGCAATATAAAAGCGATAAAAGCGATAAAAAATTTCAAAGCTGACGTTTGCGTACACTGAACGCGAATTTGCAGAAAAACTTCCTTTTCTTTCAGAAAAATTTCAAAGAACATTGCTGTACTTCCACATTCAAATTTAAAAGTTTCGAAAAAATTTGCAGACAGATTTCTACGTACATATGTGGCTAAGTATAGTGAAACAAAGCAACACACATTTAAATATGATATATTTGAGCCATTTTATTACTCTTGAAAGTAATCGACTGTGGTTGATCAATTTACTTGCGGCTTATGACTAATAATTTATTGTGGATAATTGTTTAATAATTTATTGGTCCATAAGACCTGTACGCACAAGAAGTACGAAAACGATAGCGCATGATTGTGTTAATGACGATCGTTCCTACATGTTATTGACACTTTTGGAATTCATCAACCACTCCAATATTCTTCCTAAGAGAGCATTAATTAGCAATTGCCCCAATCTGCTCATATATGGGGATTATGGCGCTGAGAACATTGATGAGAGATTGTGCGTAAAGCCCATGTCAGACTACTGACTGCCGACTGCGATTGCCGATTCTTAATGGACTAATCATAGTGAAGTGGCCTCACCGTGATCGGTCCACTAATAGTCAGCACTCGGCAGTCAGACCAGTCTGTTCAGTCGGCAGTCTGATACGAACTTAAAGGTAAGCTGTCGTTTATGGTAATATCGTTTTGTAGCGCATCGAGGCTCCTACGTGCGAGGAGGTAATGGAGGAAACGAATTGAATGGAGATTAGGGGAGCTGAGGCATTGTTTCGCGATCTGCAGGCGATCGACCGCCGCGGCGCACGTGGGCTCACACGATATTTTATTGCTTGTGTTCGCAGTGGTGGCTCAGGCATACAAAGTCGACGTGGAGGTGACGGGAGGCGCGTCGAGGGGATGCACGGCGATATTGCGCTGCATCATACCCAGCTACGTGAAAGATTTGGTGCGCGTCGTGGCCTGGCTGCACGAGCCCTCGTCCCACATATATCCTTCGCTGCAAGGAGGTAAATACTTCTCTGATCCACGAGTGTTTCAGGTGCGTGTGTGTGTGTGTGTGTGTGCGCGCGCGCGCGCGCGCGTCACGGAAACGCAGGGATTTTCACGCTCATTGCGCGCGCCTCGTAAAGAGGCTAACTAGGGAAACCGGATGAAAAACTCTGAATGCATAACGCTCTTTACCGCACGCGCGCACACGAGAGATTTCCGCGGCGACGTGAATCATCTCGCGCGGAAAAGATTACCCGCGAGATAAATTCGCTGCGATTTCGCAACGAGATACGCGTAAGGATTAAGTCGCACTGCGCGACGCTGAAGCGACGGTAAAGCACGTGCTGCGATTATTTCGCGCGCACCACGAAATCCCGCAGTAAAGAGAGAGAGAGAGAGAGAGAGAGAGAGAGAGCTCTCGCAGTATTTTCTTCGGAGAAACTAGAATTCCAATGATCCTTCCGGCTTTAGATACGCAGATTTATTATTTCTCGGCTTTTCTGGTGTATCATTTGTTATATCTCAATGCATTATTGCTTGATATCTTTTATCTTGTTTCTATATTCAAAAATTTACTGCGTTAGTGAACGTCATTCAGCATTGAACAAAAGCAAATTCCAGCAACTCCTCCGACAACGATACGTAAATTTATTATTTTTCATACGGAAAGAAAAGTTTGGAAATTTGATTTTCATCAAATTTCTGACGAAGCATAAACGAATTAAAAATTCAAAGTTATCGGAATTCTGTTGACCAGATTTCTGGTTTTAAGCAGACTCCTGATAACTTAAACCAAAATTTTTCTGTTCGTTGATATTTCACTAGAGAGATATTTAATCCAACCGAACGTTTTTTTCTATACGGCTTCTGGTACGTCATTTTATTTCGATGTATTACTCGATTAGATATTTTATCTTGCTTTTTTATTGGAAATATATATTTCGTCGTTAATGAACTTTATTCAGCATAAACTTCATCTGACAATACGCGATTAATAAACGTCACTCAGCATTGAACAGAAAATAATTCGAATAAATTCTCTCTTGAGCACCGATATATCTTGTATGTATAAAATGCTTGTGCGCTTATCTGCCTCTTTAACCAATAATTCTTACTTCCGCGGATGCACATATTTGAGTTTCGCTCTATTCGGCATAAACGGATTCTGTCGATCAAAATTTCGTTAATTTAGTTGCCCTCGCGATCGACGAAGACGACATTATGAAGCCTGAGAAATATTCCGGGCTCGCGGGTGCAGTAACGGAAGCGATGAAGAAAGAAAAATTATACGTCGGTGAGACACAGTGCAGTGCCCGCGATTTTCACGTGTTCGTTGGTTGGTACGCGCACGACTGTGTCACACTCGGCCGCCATTGCTTACGAGGACTAAAATTTAATATCCGCCGCGGACGCCCGGGCTGAAATTTAATATCCACAATAATGCGGCGTCTCCTTCCGCGTGGGGGATGCGAGTCGAGATTGTCGGGGACGCCGACCTCTCGCCGAGAGAGGGAAAGAGAGAGAGAGAGAGAGAGAGAGGAAGGGGGAGGGGGAGAGAGAGAGAGCATCGGTTCATTAGTAGCTCGCGCAGATTAATCAGATTTACCGTAAACGCGGGTCCGTTCCGAGAAAATTGCGTAGACGAGCGCGGGAGGAGCACGCAGTGTACACCAGTTACACGCCTCCGCGTTTTTGCGTTTCGTGATTTGATTAGCGGCCGTAATTAGCTATCGGTAAATTAGAATACTGATTACAGAATGAGCCACTTGTACCTGTCATGTGTGATGGACTCGACATGGCACAAAGTTTTTTTTAACGAAAATTGATTACAATAATTGGCCGTAATCATGCAAGTATGATCTAACCTACAAAAATATAATTTTCGAGTTTTTGTTTATCAGTGGGTAGTCCATATGTGAGAGGAAAAAGATCCAAGACTTACCTTAATTAAAGTTGGTCAAGAAACAGTTTCTATTTTCTACCAGTTGCGCCACTTTTATTAGTTGAGTCTTTTTCACTTTTTTTCAGGATTAAGTTTATCAATGGATACCTTTGAAGAGAAGAAAGTTGATCGTTTGAACGATTGCAAAAAGTCTCATTGCTGTTTGCCTCCTTCTTAAATCATGCATTAAATTTTCATCTTCATTCCTTTCGGAACGTACTTCATGTAGGTTGGATCGTTCTTTGTTGATCCATCAGAGGCGCTTTTGGGAATCGACACGACATTCCTTTTCTCATTTTTCCGGTCTCGCGCGTGACGCGCTTGTGCGAAGCGCAAGAAGCGAGAGAATCGCAAGATTTCCTCCCGCTCGAGTCTGTGATTTAAACGCTACCTCTTATCGGGAAAGGTATCATATTACGCCCTTCCGCGGATACAATAACCGACGCGTCGTATTGCACGTTTTTCCATGCGGCCACACTGGTCGCGATTGTGTGTTGATATCAGTTCGGACGTAATTCGCCGACATATACATAGCGCCGCCAACTCATGTACGCGCGATATGTATGTATATACACGCGTCCCCGTCTATCGTGAATGGAGCCGCGCGCGGCTATAGGCTCCCCCTCGAATGTAATACCTAGACTACACAGAGACCATTCGGTCCACCTGACTTGGCGGACAATCTATCGGGAAGGCGGCCTTATCGCAGCCGCTCTTAGCTGCTCTAATGTCTCACGAGCGAGCTCGCATTCAGCCGTGTGTGTGAGTTATATATATACTATGTACGGCCACCATATACACCGCCTTGGCACGCCGATACAGCGCGAAGTTTCTTTCGTACGTCGACAAGAAAACGCCTCTTCATTGTCGACGTTGTGACTTGGTTGCTCGGCCGGTTGAGTGTACACCAGACTACATTGATGCAATTTCACTTCGAAAAATCGAATCGTCCACTTAGGCGTACAAATCTAAATATTCGTGCATCGTGATTGTGGATCGTTCAAGCAACGCTGCTCCAAAGCAGCGATCTGTCACCATATGTCGCTTCACATTAACCTATATAACGCGAAATATGAACGAGTAGCAGATTAAATGTTTATCAGGGTCTGACATATGATTAATAAACTGATTTATATCTCTTAAAATCTGATAAATGTCAATTAAAAACATGACGTAGAGAATGTCCATCAGAAACATCTTAAGATCTTATATATCTGTGTGCTCTTTTGAAAAAAGTGTCAATGTGAACCAAAAAGAAATATAATGACCCAAATAAACTTGGTCAAAAATTGTGATCAATGTATTCAACCAAGCGAACGTTTGAATCTTCAGTCTCGAAGCAATTGTATCTTCTCCTTCCTTTATTAAAAAATTTACCTTAAACAAGAATAGCGAGAACTAAAGACTTAAAATATTCGCCAATGAATTAAGCACAGCCAGTTATGTGTGTCGAGCACATGTCAGACAAGCTCTTTAATTTTCAAGACCGAAAATACTTCAATATTTCCTTTAATAAAAACTTGATATCGCCCAATATGATTCGTCGAAGGAGGAACGCGAAAATAACTCTTGGGAAGTCAGAAATCGATACTTCGATCTGTGACGCTCTCACGTGTCGAGCGTCATACATATGTGCGAGACATGTATATGCAAAATACTCTGATATCCATCTATCCTTATCTTTATTTGGCCCCGGATATCTTCTATCGCCACCTAGAGCAAAAATACTCTGATATTTATCGTACAGCTACACGCTCGGTATTCCACACGTGTGCGACGCAAGTAGGACGAAGCAGCGATCGTGTAAGTAGCGCGTGACCTAATCGCGAATTAGGGATTTCCCGCGCGGGGATCTCGAAAAGACTCGAGTTTGCCGGGCGAGCTTTGCGACTGTTTAGGATAATTGTGGTCGTTAAGTGTTGGCCGGGCTTATCTAAGGAAACTCTGAGCTTAGTCCAAGCGAGGAAGTACGCGATCGGGGCGAGACGCGGTTCCCTCTTCCTGTCCTCCTCCCTTTCCCTTCACTACCTACGTCACGTAGATCGGACAAGGGGAAACGCGGGAATTAACGTAATTATCGTTAGGCGGGTGCGGCCGAAAATATCGTAATCCGGCAAGCGGCTTTATCGCGGTCGTTAAAGATAACCAAGCGACGCGGTGTTATCGGGAAACGTTGATCCCAATTATTAGAGGCGCGCATTCGTTATGAATAATACGGTGGGATTAGGAAGTCATGTATTATTCATGCAGTCTAGATGGAGCGAGCGTCGTCGCGGTGAGTCTCGCGATCAATCGATCGAACGATTGATCGATCGACTGGTCGATCGTCGCGAAAGAAACGAAAATGCCGAATCTGTTGCATGATAGATCAATGAAAAAGAACTCGAACGGCGAGAAGTCACATAGTTTGTGATTTACTCGCGAGGCGACGAAACACACATCGAACAAATCCACGGAAATTTCTCGTCGGTCGCGACAATGGCTGCGTTCAACGAAAGAAGCTGCTTTGTAACCGTTGCAAAATTCGTGGATTTGATTGGGGCACGCTTTTGATCTCAGCTGAATCCAGAGCAATCACAAATCAGACTCACGACATTTTACAACAATTGCAAGGCCACTTTCTCTGCTGAAAGATGTCTGTTGTTAGCGTGTCATAATTATGAATAATTCTAGATAGTAAACTATGAGAAATAGGAATTTTTACACAAAATTAAATTGAAATGAAAAAGAAAGCAAAAACTCGAAGACATCATATTACATCCAAAAATTATACAAACATATGAAACAAACCAACTTTCTTTGCAACATTTCTTGCTCGACTAATTTATGTAATCTTATCGGATCATCTTTCAAAAATGTTATCGTCACGTACAAAACGTCTCGTTCAAAATATTTGTTTATTCATTGAAAGTTTATGAATAGAAATTAATGACTTTAATTTTTAATTTCTTTTCATTTTGAACAAATTTTATCACTTTTTATAGTTTATTATCTGAAATTATTCATAATTCTGACAGAGCTAACGACGTCAGTACAATTATGAATAATTTCAGATGATAAACTATGAGAAATAGCACTTCTTATACAAAATTGCCATTTTTCATAGTTTATCATCGAAAACTATTTATAATTCTGACAGACGCTGACGGCAGACATCGTTAGCGTACTGTACCAACAATTGTCGGTAGATGTGTACGGAATAGCGACCTAGATTCGCGTTCGTATCTTTATTTTTCGTTGGGAACGTAGAATTCAACGAAAGACTGCGTCTCGAAGTTTCGGGATAAAATATCTAAACCTCGAGAGTCGACAGAAAATGCCGCTTTTACTATTATATGGGTTAGCCATGGCGTCCTGTATATCATGGGACGCCTTTCGATACGTTTGACATTTTACGACTGCTCTCGATCGTTGCATTTTCTAGACGGCAAGTTCCACCTGCTTCCCACGGGAGAGCTTCTGGTGCACAGCCTCGAGTTCAACGACCAGCTGAACGGCTACAAATGCCGCACGATGCACCGTCTCACGAGACAAGTGGTCGTTAGCTCCGCGGCCAACATTAGGATAGCAGGTGAGTCACGGTTGCCGATAACTTTCGAAGGAGATGCACATTTGGCTGGAAACGCTGTGACGCGCCGAGTTTTCTGCATTCTGCTTCACAGATCACAGAGGCGTAATGCCTCCCGTGATACTCGAAAATTCCGGCGTCGTTCACGTCGCCCAGGACGAATCGACGTCGTTAGTCTGCGTGGCGCAAGCCTGCCCTTCGCCTGAATATCGGTAAGTGTGTTTGCGGAAATATTTTGCGTCTACACACACACGCGCGCGCGCGCGTGAGGAGAAAAAAAGAGAGAAACGAAAATACAAATAAGAACAAAAATGCCAAGCAGAGATACTAAACAATCTATATGAGCTGTTTAAAAATTGAATATCCAAATTTCGCATTCTTTTCCACTATTAAAAGAGATATTAAGTTTAATATTTCTCAGAATTTTTCAGATTTCCTCCAAAAACTACAAGCATATTATTTAAGAAACTTTCGCAAAATTAATCCCCAAAAATACGTTTTATTTTCAGAACGTCACATTTTGATTTGATTCCTTAAGAGTTAATTGAACGCACGCACGCTAACGAGAAAGGAAGAGAATCTCTAAGACCGGTTTTTGGCATCCTCTGAAATTAAACCAAAAATATCAGAAACGTTATATTTTTGTAAGATATTGTAAGATATTGAAATAAAATGATTTTAGTCTAAACGGACATATTTTGGTGCCCGTTTATACTATAATTGTAATTGATCCCATTTTTACCACCAAAGCTCTTGTGTCACCTATCATCTCCTTACATTTGTGCGCGCACGCGCGCTCAAAACTACGAAAACACTATTTATGTAGATATTTAGCAATATACGTTTCTTTAAAAATTATACTGCCCTATAGTGTTTTCGCAGTATCGAGCGCGCGCGCACATACACACACAAATGTAAGGAGATATGTAGGTGACATAAGAGCGTTGGTGATAAATATGGGATTAATTAGAATTATAGTATATAAGCAGGCACCAAAATATATTTGTTTAGAATGAAATCACTTTATTTCAACAGTTCTTACAAAAATATAACGTTTCTGATATTTTTGGATCAATTTCAGAGGGTGCCAAAAACCGACCTTAGGGACCCTCCTCCTTTACTTTCTTCGCTCTCTATAGTCGCGTAGAGTACATACGCGCGTATGCATGTCACAGTGACGGCACCGATAATTAACACAGTCGGACGCGCGACAGAAGAGGACCGGTTCCTGCTTCACGCTTCTACAACGGTCTCGCACGTCGAGTCAGGGTGCCCCGAAAATCGAGCGCGCGCGCGACGCCCATTGACCGCGGCGAGCGCGTGACGTAGTACTACGGCTAGTGTAAGCGCTACCGGGACCGCGTAGCGCTCTTCCGCGAGTCGCGCGCGTAGTGCTAGGTCAGTTACGAGCCGCGCGCCAGGTCAGTTACGCGGCACGCGCGGCGCGAAGGGGAGGGGTTGTCACGCGCCACGAGAGTCAGCTGATCGCCGCGCGCGCGACCATAGTCGGTTGTCGCGGTCTCGCGCGAGCGGCGGCCTTAGTCCCCCGACTCGAGATGGCGCTCGCTATCGCTGCAGCGAGTAGAAGGCGGAGAGACGCCGCGAATATTCTCGCGTCCCGTATTTTACTTCTGTTGCCGTTATTATCCATACCTGGAGAAACATTTGCGTGCAGAGTATCGTGTATTAATGTCGCGATTTTCAGTGAATATATATTAATGTCGTATGATATTCGGTGAAGAAACATTACGGCGAGGCGTGTGTCCTCTTATCCTGCGGAAAAGAGATACTGTCCGCCAAAAACTCTTTCATTTTCGCCAAAGTTTGGGCAAGATTTTTCATGAATTTCTTCCCGAATCACGTTGTAAATTTGAATTTTATGCGTAAGTAAATCCGCAATTTTACAATTGAAAAATTAGCTTAGGAGCAAATGTTTCTCCGGCTTTTCAGTGCTATTATTTCGAAGATATCGTGGAAGATTTTACGATAAAAACAGCTCGGCGTTCCCCGGGCGATTTTCAGCGAGGCCCCGGCGTAGGAAATCGCATTTCAGCGTATCACTCGTGGTTAAAATTCGCGCGTTAAAATTCCGACGTGTTCTGGCTCTCGAATATTGAAATGAAAATACGTACGTACGTACGTTTCGTGGAAGGTAAATGGAAAATAGTACGTCGTGTGTTACAACGCAAATACGTACGTTCGCCATCAGAATCACCGTCGTTTTAAATAACGTACATCGTTGTTGAGAGAAGGAAGGAGGGAGAAGGAGAGAAAGGGAGAGAAATAGAGAGAGAGAGAGAAAGAGAGAGAGGGAGGGAGAGTAAGAACTCGTGTAACAGGGATGTAACAAGAGAAAAACGACACATCGCGCGTCCCACAGCTTTTCCCATTATAAAGTAATCTCGCGGAAAAGTGAGGCGAGAGATCGTCGCTCGTTACCCACGCGCCGAGAACGGGATTTGTTCGCTGCCGCCGTTGCCGCGTCAAGAGAAGAGAAAGAGGGAAAGGAAGAAAGAGAAGGAGAGGAAAGAGGTACGTTCCACTACTACGTCTACTTACCGTCCCTCGAACACATCTCGCGCCAGTTGACACAAAGACTCATACGAATGCCTTTGTGCGCGGGAAATCGACGCTCGAAGGACGACCAAGCGCGCGCGCGCGCGCACCTATCGTTTCACGCGCGACGCTTCTTTGAACGGTTCTGCGACCCGGCTGTGATATCCGTCAACGGAATGGCTGAGAGGATAGCAAATTGCGGTGGTGTTGCGCGGGGAGCATCTCAATCCTTTCCTTTAATCCCCCCTCCTCGGAGAAATTACGATCGAGCCTCGTGGGACGGACGGGGCTGATGCGAAGGAGAGAAAGGCGGATGATACTCAGCGAGAGATGAAGGAGGAAAAAGGCGAAGACGAGCGTCGAAGTGCTCGACGAGAGCGACCACGAGGATAGGCGGAGTTAGACGAGAGAGAGAGAGAGAGAGAGAGAGAGAGAGAGAGAGAGAGACAAGAGAGCACGATTTTGACCGAGGAAAAGTGGGAGCACTCGATCGTGAAGCCTCGCGAGGGTGGCACAATCGGAAGCTCTCCATGTCGCTCGAGCCGAGAGAAAGAGACTCGTTCGCCGGCGACTCCGCGTTTTCCGTTCCGCGGGTGTTCCTCGCCTCTCCACGGCTACAATCGAACGCCGTACTTTATCTCCTCGCCACTTTGCAGAACGGAGAATTTGACAAACGGCCCTTCGCCGCTCCCTCCCCTGCCGGCTTTGTACACGCGCGCGCGCGCACGTGGCAAGTCGCCGGCGCTCGATACACGATACGTTACGTCTCTCTTGCCACGGCTAGAAATACTTGCACATTTGTCACATAAACAGAATCGGTTTGCGCCGGTCTATACGCAATAGAAGTCGCCCTACGCCGAGAGACGGAAGGAGGAGTCAGCATAATAGAAAAGCAGAATGATGAAGGGCTCTTGCGGAGATCGTTCAACTCGCACAAGAGGTAAAATAACGAGAAGAAAGGGATAAAGAGAGAGAGAGAGCGGAAAAGGAACGCGAAATCGCAGCATTATAGAGCCTGCAATTAGAATTCGCAATAAAAATACATCATGTATAACGCTGAAAGAATGTTTCGTGAAAAAATACAGCACGAAAGGCTGAAGTAATCTACATCCTGGAATGCGGAATGAAAGACATTTTCCTCCTTCTTTTCCTCCCGTCGTCTCTCTGTCTTATTTTTTTTTTTTTTTGTTCTTTCGCCGACGAGAGACCACGAATATAGCCCGACAAATGCTCGACGGAATGAAAATTTATTGGCAATATCGCGACACGGGCGGGCGGAGCCGGCCGTAGCTCTTCTATGAAAAATACATTCGCGTAATACGTTTCAAGTTGGCCGCCCCCGTCGGCAGCGGCGGCGGCGGGATCGATTGTCTTCTCGTGGACCGAAACGCGTGTATCGTGCTGCACGGCATGGCACAGGCCCCGTGAAATACTACCCCGTTATTAAGAGTTGCGGGGCGCGCGCGGCCACCTCCGCCGTCGAGGAATACATTATACGAATTTATATGCGCGTTCGTATGCGTATAGAGACGTCGTAAATTTGTCGCAGGATACACATATATCCGGTCACGATGTACAGTAACATCTAAAGACCCTTGAACCAGAGACCGGTCATGAAGTAGCGCGTCTTGATTAGCCCGCCATGTTTTGCCAACTCCCGCTCATGTTCGAATCATACACTGAGAGAAGAAAATGGTCGATCTAATTAAAATTATAATTATCAGACGATTAGTCAATGAAGCAGTAGTTTCAATTTCATATCTCATAAGAAGAAGAAAATCTAATACACAAAATACTGATAATTGGGGTTACAAGTTTCACAATACGGTAACGCCATGGGCACGTGTGAACGCGTCAGAGCAAGCTATATGTCGAAGAATGAAATGGTGAATATTTTATTTTCTCCCTCGTATAGTTTTGACAAAACCACTCTTGCATGGCCAGTCTCTGAATAGGATCAGTTTGGGACTGCGAGCGCTTCGACATAAAGAAAGATTGTGATGGATCTGTACGGCACTTCGAAGCGTTTACAGCATCAAATGAATCGTGCCCTCAGATTCTAGTAACATCCGGTCGCGCACGCGCGCGCTCACGATAAGCGGCTGATCGCGAGAGACTTCTAGAGGAGGAAGGGAAGAGGCGCAGGGCAAATCGCGACAGTGAATAAGATTCTCGCGCGAAACCGTGGGATATATTGAATTCCCGTGAACGGGTGCGCAACTTCTAAGCACTTTTACGACTTTTTTGTGGCGTGCGCGTGCGCACAGTTCCAAACTTTTCTATCTCCTAACGATCCAACTACCATCGTCCCGCAACTTCGCGGCTGAATCTTTTGCGCGAGCATACAAATTCCGTACGCCCCGAAGCGTCGCGCTCCCCCGTCCAAAGATCTTAACATGCTATTAAGCGGAAACAACTCACCCGTAACTCCCATTCGGTTTTATCGGTCAAGATTTCTCGCGAGATTCCTGCGACGCGTCGGCAAACTTACCTTGGTCGGACGTCCGGCGAGGTATCTCGGCAGATTGAGAACGCGCGAAGGGGAGAACGTGGTAGAGAGAGAAGAAGAGAGAGAGAGAGAGAGAGAGAGAGAAAGAGCTAGGTAGGCCCCCGAGCGATCAAGCCCCGGAAGTCCAAACGTGTCGCGATCGGGAACTGTCAGTGAGTCTGTAGAGAGTGGCAGCGAGAGGATCCCGGGGATAAACGTTGCTGCGGATGTCGGCCCCGACGTCGTTTCTAGGTCGACGTATCCGAAAAGCCAGCGAAATTGAACCGCTTCCCTCCCGGCCCCCTCCCCATCTTCCTCGCCGCCTCTTTGCCAACTGCTTTGCCCTTCGATGAAAAATTATTCGTCAACGAGGCGAAGTGCGAGAGACAGAAGGGGAACACGAATGACAAAGTGACAGAGAACAACGGTGAATGAGAGGGAGGTGGGAGTAGAGGGGAACTGGCCGATTTGGAGATTGTATCGGTCGCATTCTCTTCTCAAAGACGTGAGCCCGATCGCGTCGCAATCGGCCCCGTGGAGAATCGATTATGCGGCAGACTTGACGAGCGTCGTGAACCAATGCGATAGAATATTCAGGTGCGAGATCGATAAGAGCGACAATAGAATTCGTGTTACGATATAAGCGGCGACACGTGGTATCTTCCTTTTTGTAGTATCTCTGGCTCCGGTCTCTCCTCGTAGATTCACGTTTACGACTTCTACGTGTGTGTGTGTGTGTGTGGGCGGCTGGTACATATAGCACTCGATAATTTCCATTGATCGCTGATTAGAAAACCTTTTCCCTCTATATCTCGACTTTTCAATCGGATTATTCATGAAGTTGCCTCTTAAAAAAAATGGCTATTTCGAACGAGAGTTCGAAGAGCTCTCGCAAAGAATAGACACCGACGTGAATACACCGAGAAAAAAGCACTTTCATTTGTGGGATATAAAATTAATTTTTGTGAGGATAATGAGTCTACATTTGTAAAAATTTGTCTGGATATAAAGTACTTCTACAAATAAACTTTATATTCCGCGAATTAATCTTCAAATCTTATTTTCTCAGCAATTTTTGTGCAGCAAATTTTGTTATATTAAAAGCACTCTCGACATTTTCGCTTCCAGGTGGTACGCACAAACCGGTGCGGAACCGATGCTGGTACTCTCCGGGCCCCGAACCCGTCTGCTCGGCTCGGTATTGGCTATCGAGGCGGTGACGTTAGAAGACAGCGGGGTTTACCGTTGCTCCGCTTCCAATCCTGGTGGCGAGGCGAGCGCTGAGATCAGGTAACGATCAGGATACAATTGATCGAAAATTTCGTCGAAGAATCAGTTGATTGTTAATTTCCATTATCGCGCTTACCACACGGAAAAACAAAGTTTGCACTTTGCAAACAAAGTTGTCACTTAGGCAAGGAAGCTTTCAAAAGAAGTTTAATAAACAAATGTAATATCAGCGAAGCAAAATATGCTAAGTTGCAGATACTACGGAGAATATAGCCCAGCTTCACCAACTTGTAGCTGTTGCGTCCGCACGAGCGATTTTGGGTTGGTCACTTTAACCAAGCTCTGGTTAAACTAACCGTTTTAGTAAGCTTGTAAGATTCCAACTGGAACTGATGTTGAAGAAAAAAATGAAAAGAGTGAGTAGTTATAAATGTAGATTAGTAACGCTATTAGGTTAAGCATAAAAGAGCACGTCCTAATCAAATTTTCTATCATATTGGGACATGCATTTTCATGTTTAGCTGTAGCGTTATCAGTCCACATTCATCACTCTTCACTTTCAATTTAGATTTTCATTTTTCCTCCAACAGCAACTTCAACTGGAATCCTGCAAAGTTATTAAAACCGGAGGTTGGTAAAAGTGGCCCTAATTAAAACAGAATTCTGGCAGCCTCAGTTGGAATTTTCTGGATTCGTTCATATTTCACTAGAAATTGATTTATCTAATTAAATTTTTTCCGCATATTATCTCGTTCTCTCCAAGAGACACATCACTCACGTCGCCTCACGCCTTCGCGGTAACGTCGCCGCGACCCGCGTCGTTCGATCTCGCCGCATGATAAAGCATGCTTCGTACGATGTAATACGTGAACGTTTTTATCGTGATCCCTCAGGTTAATCGTGACGGCGCCTCTTCACGTGGAAGTGACGCCTCCGTTGCTAAGCGTTCACCTGGGCGGCAACGCCGAGTTCAGATGCGAGGTCGGCACGCATCCGCAAGCCGGGCCGCACTTTATCACGTGGTACAAGGACGGTCGGCAACTTCCAGGGACAGGGAGGCAATCGGAATTGTTAAGGCTCAACGGGATCGGCCGGGAGGATCGCGGCATGTATCAGTGCATTGTACGACGGTCGGAGGGCGATACAGCTCAAGCGTCGGCGGAACTTCAACTGGGTGGTACGTAAATATTTCCCTCGGGCCGCGCCTTCCCGTATCATGATTTCCTCCATTCGATATCCCCGGAATACTTGGCGAGCTCGAATTTTCGAGTGAACGCAACCTGTCGCGGAGCAGACATGTCGAGGTCGGCAAAACGCACATTCGACGTAACGTTGAACAATCCGAAGTGGCTGTCTCTCAGCTCGATAGATAGATAAATTTATCATGCTCTCCGGAAACATTCCTCTCGAGTGCAGTTAGCTAAACGGTCAACGAGAAAAGCAAGCATGCAATATTTACAACAAAAAGAAGTGCAAACACACAAGCATAATTTAATTAGGCAGGAATGGTTGACGGTACGCGTAAGGTGAAAACACCCCGACCTACTCCATTCTTATTGCTTTGGTCTTTAAATATGAATATTTAAAGACCAAAGCATAAAGAATAATTTAAACTTTTAACGTAGAATGTCTTATATTTAGTCCTTCTCTGTGTACAGTATTTAATGTGCTTTTTGTGGGCACATAATGATTACGCAGAGGCACAAGATGGCAGGATGATTATGTGTGCGATTTTGCGGATGAATATTATAAGAAATAAGATAGAGTGCTCTGATCGCACGACTGCGACATCATCCCCCGAGATTCCGCATAATAAAGGAGACGTTTGCTAGGGAGACTCGGAGCCTCGCGTCAGGACATTGACCCGCGTCTTTCTCTTCGCTGGTCTCTCTCTCTCTCTCTCTCGCTCTGTCGCGGTCTCTCTCGCTGTCTATCGTCCTCGCGTCATCCTCGAAAAGCGCCGTCAAAGGTGCCCGGGTGAGAGAGAAGACACTGGAGCGCCGATCGGCAGGCCGCGTTATACCTATCGAATTACACAGAACTCGATTACTCGGCAAAGAGGCGGCGTCCGCGTGCCGAGCTGCCGGCTGAGGGGTGGAGGACCCGGCGCACTTTGAAGTGGAGAGGTCTTCTTTTGCAGCGCTTTACCTCGTTTCGCAGCTACGCCGTCAGCACCCCCGGCACACACCCCTGTCCTCTGCGCCGTGTTCTTCCGCACCGCGGCGGCGGCGGAGAAACTTGGGGAAGGGGGAAAGGACGTTCATCCTCTCCGCAGCATCGAGCGCGGGCGAGGACGACGGCGGGAACGGATTCCTCCGCGGAATTAGCTGACGCGGGTTCGCCCTCTCGCGCGCCACCGCAAAAAAAAATTCGCGACAGCTCTAATTACGGAGATATTTAACGTCGGGAATCAAGGGGCTGCCGCGAATTAAGCACGTCACCGCGAGAAACCGAGCGGAACTTTGTTTGTCAGTTGGCTCCCGGAGCGGGTCACGCTCCGGCGGAGATTTAATTCGGGGGAGTTCCCAAGCCGTCGCGGGCGCGGAACGGCGTCGGAAAATATGCACAAAAGAAGCCGCGACGAGCGTCCGTTCCGCGGGCCGCATCTCGTCGAAGGATCAATCGTTAATAGTTGATAACGCGCGGCGCATCAGGCTCGGACACCCCGTATATCTAGACCAGGCTTGCGGGTGGTGGTGTGTGGGTGGCGCGGCAGGGTAGCCAGGCAGAGAGGAGGGCCTTTGAAACAACAATGAAGTTAGCGTCTCTCGCTCGTCAGCGTCAGTAATGCACGGAATTTACGTCAAAGAGAATTCGAGCGAGCGAGTGCCGACGGCTGCAGGGACATCCCGGCGGGCGCGAGCGAGACAAAGCGATCGCCGATGCAATTTCGCCGCGCGAGGACAACCGGCAGGAGGAAAACGACGGGCCCGACCCGACGCGCCGCACAGTCCGGCCGGGACGGCGCGGACGGCTGCAGAAAAAGTCATTTCCGAGGCCGGAGAGAGAAAGAGAGAGAAGGGTAGAGAGAATGAGAGAGAAAGGGGAAGAGAGAAGGAGATAGACAGATAAATAGATAGATAGATAGAGAAAAAGAGAGACCATGCACCTCGGCGAATTGTGCGAAATGCATTCCTCCCCTCCCCCCCTCTCGCGAAATATTCAAGCACCATTCGCTCGTAAAATCTCTTCGCTCGGCGTAGCCACGCACGATTGGTCGACGGCCTTCATGTATATTTGACGGTTCCGACATTCCGCGATTAGCTTTATCGATTCGATCGCCGTGTTGTTGGCCGCGTGTCTGTTTAGGGAGTAGCCAGAAACGGCTGATTTGCGCGGTACGCGATTTAACGGCGACGCTACTGTTCATCCTAGGGGATTGTAGTCGCGCGGAGATAAAATCGGCAGCGGTTGATTATCGGTCAATGCCGGGCGAGCGAGCGGAGTACGCGAATGAAAAGAAGCAACTTCTATTTCGCGCTTTGATACAAGTGCTCGGTAATACCGGGCAGGAGCAGCGCGGACCTCGTGTGCATCGCCGGGGAAGCGCGTGAAACGTTCTGTCCGCTGCAATTGCGAGCGCCAACGCTTTTGCGCCGAGTTTCTATGGTAGTGCGCGACAGAATGGAGAACGGCAGAAAAGTCATTTCCTCGAGCGAACAGAACTGCCAAATTACTCAAAATGAATTCCGCGTGTTCCGTGCCAGATGCGGGGCCGGCGGCGGCGCTCAGAGAACGCGTTTTTGCCAATTCGCGGGCTAACCAGCACGAGTGCTTTAATTTGCCGTTTTTATGCACCGTTCGCCGGGAATGGAATCGTCGCATGTACGGGCGAACGACGAGAATCTGTAAACGGCAATGCGCGCAACATAGAAATCCAATCGCTCTCTGTGCTGATCATCAATCTTTCACGAGCGTGTCGCGAGAAGGGGATCCAGAAACGTCCCGATACCGTTATCCTCGCGGCTTAATTATGCATAGACGTGCCGCACCGCGCGTACATCTTCCATCATTTTGGCTTCGACAACTCGCGCGGCTTCTAGTATATTCAGATATCGAGACAATGGAGAAAGACGTAGGATCTCGACGTCGGTGTACGTGCGCGTCATAGACATAATATCTAGACCTAGTTCCTACACTACTCCTGTAATCAAAATGTGTCAGAAAGTAGAAAGAGAAGGCTGCTGTACAGTAGGTCGCAAGACGGTTTAGACACAATGAACTTCAGAGTTAATGGTCTAATAAGAGAACGAAGAGACCCTCAAGTAAGAAACTTGCGAACTTCAGTCATTCGCAAGAATATGACGTCCTCAGGACGCGGCTTGATGTTTGTATGTTTTTGCAAGTATAAATATAAAATTTATATATATATATATAACGTGCAAATTACTAATAACACAGGCCCACAATTTTAAAAAAGTTGTCTGTGCTGGGGGTCTGACTAGGTGTACTATACGTATTTTGGGCTGCTGAATCCAAATCCGGTGTCAGATTTGCTCCATCACCCTTGAGTTTCCCGGAAAATCGAGGAAATCGTGAAAAGGAGCAGATATCCAGATTTTTACGGAGACATGTATTCAAGAAAAATTCTAGAGTGACGAATAACCCCATAATACATTATGTACTTCAACATGGAAAACGAATCATTCTACACATGCCCTTACGGGGCAGTTGTCATCGTCTCCAACATCCTCTGAAGCAGCAGGATTTATCTGATCGACGATCATATATTGTAGAATTGATATTTCGAATAGAAAAAAGATTCCATCTCGTGGACAATAACATGAATGTGACCATGATAGGGCACGCACAGATTTTCTAATCTGTGCGATATTAAAGGATTGATGGGTGAACTAAAACCGAATATGTATGATGGTATATGGGTTATTGGGTTGTTCTAGTCATCAAATGTTGAAGTACATAATGTATTTTCAACGTTGGTTGTGGAGTTATAGGGTTACTCGTCACTCTAGAATTTTCCTTGAATACATGTCTCCGTAAAAACCTGGATATTTGCTCCTTTTTACGATTTCCTCGATTTTCCGGGAAACTCAAGGGTGATGGAGCAAATCTGACACTGGATTCAGCAGCCAAAAATACGTATAGTACACCTAGTCAAATCCCCAGCACAGACAACTTTTATTAAATTGTGAGCCTGTGTAATTTTAGATAACATTAATTAAATGTTATATTAGAATATTGTTATTTCATATGATAGAGTTTTGATAAATTTTCGGAATTCACTTGGGATTTATTCTTACCACGTTTGTACGCATTCGTAGAATCGTATTCATAGGCATTAATACAGAAGAAGGTTGCCTCTATCATGTTTATCAGTCACAATATTTAGTCACAATTAGTTGCCTAAGAAGTCGTAACTTCGAAATTTTAAAATATAAGGCATCTAGCCCCGGTCTTCGTCTGTGGTGCGCGTTTCCACGTCGGCGGTGCAGGTGTCGCGAGCAGCCACCACCTCGCGCGTTGTCGTTGGCAATGCCGGCGGTCATTATCACCATCGCTTAAAATTCCGTTTCATCCACCGGAGATGGAAGAGAAGCGCGCGATGTCGTGGCTTAGGTGGCACGCAGGGAGCTGATGATGATCGCCGGCAGGCATCGGAGACGACATTCATCGATTTGCGCACGCTTTCGCGAGCACGAGAGAGGAGCCGCCGAGGATCTGCCATTTATACAGGCACGACATCGTTTTCTTCCCACTCTTCTTCGGGGGTGGCGGCGGCGGCGGCGGAGATCCGCCACTCTCTTCTCGCCTCGCGACAACAGGGCTCTCTTTTTTAATGACGGCGGAATCGATACTTTTAATTACGAGCAGCTACGCTCCGCCGTCCGTTCGATCTCGCGCCACGACAGATCCGCATCAGCATAGCCGGCGTCGTCTCCTCTCCTGCACTCTTTTCTCTTTTCGCCGCCGCCACCGTCTCGCGAATCAATCGTACTCTACTCCGTGTTGGCGGTTGGTGGTTGGAATGTCGACGAAGAAAAAAGAAATATCCGCTTCCGCGACGGCGAACCCATTGTCTTTCGTATAGCGATGGGCGCGTTGGGCGTGGCGGCTTTCAGGATCAGGATATCGCCCTCGTACGCGAGAAGGCTCGCCTTCTTCTTTCCGCGACGCGCTCGTAACCCTTCGTTTAGCCCCGCAGCACTCGCGTTTTATTGTCGGGTTGCGGCACTCGCGTGGATTACACCGGTAATCCACGGTATGATCCGCGTTTTCATTGCAGGAATAAATACAAATATCCGAGGATATAAAATATACCCCCCTACCCCTTCTAACACTCCATCTATCTTTAAATTCCGAGTTCGGAGTCCGCACTTAGAAAAAGTTTCGCTATTCCAGATAGAATTCTAAGGGCCGGTTTTTCCAACCTCTTGCTAAGCTAACTAACAGTTAACTCATACGTCTTTGTTTCTACTTTAAATTAGATAGAAACAGACATAAGATTTAACTGTTAGTTAGCAAGAGGTTGGATAAACCGACCCTAAATGTCACAGTTAAAACTTATCCCCGTCTTTTGTATCTACTAGAAAATTGTGATACGTGGAATTTACAGCGTTCTAGCAATATCTGTAAGCAAGTTTAGACGGGTGGATTACACATTCGTTTGTCTCTCGTTTCGCTAATCTTTTTCTCTACCACAATTAAGTTTTACAAGAAGTGTGACTGGTTGTAATCTGAATGGTCGTTATAGAGAGACTTTTTTGCTCAATTTCACAAGTACTCGAGAGAGAAATTCTGTCTCTGCCCTCTATATCGATCGAATGCAAAACACATGCGATATCTCGGTTTTTGCTGGTCTATTCGTCTTGATTAACTTTCCGTATCTAGATAGTGATTCCGCTGTGTGAGGGCGCAGCGCCATTTTTTTGAGTGCGAGCAGCGAGCTCCATCCGCGCCTTAATTATCTCCCCGCGTCGTGGCGGCGTACAAAAATTACGCTTCCATCTCGGCGGGCGATCGGCGCCAGGTGTTTTCCCGCTTTAACGGCTTCGATTAACGATAACGCCCAGCGACATAAATTCGCTCGCCTACGCGTAATTAAGCTCGCCTTACACGTTTCAGACGCTCCGCCCGTGCTGCTATACTCGTTCATCGAGCAGACGCTCCAGCCAGGACCAGCCGTGTCCTTAAAATGTTCCGCCGCGGGAAACCCTACACCTCAGGTATCGTGGGCGCTGGACGGTTTTCCCTTACCGACTAATGGAAGGTAAGCTCGCCCTAGTTCTCCCCCAAAAAGCCCGCATTCTGCCGATATTCGCCATTCGAGACTGATATCTCGTAATTCACCGGCGTAACTAATGGTCATGCGGCGCGGGTAAAAAGGAAAAGAGGAAAAGAAGGAAAGGGAGTGGGGACAAGCGGGAGAAGAAGGAAGGGAAAGGGTGTGTCGGTGTCGTCGTCGTCTGCGCGGATGGTGGCATTGAGTTATGTCGAGAGCGCGTGGCCAACATGTCGCGCGTTATACTTCATTTTCTTTTAGCACGCCGGACGCCGCCTTTACGACGCGCTACTATTAACGTCGTCGCGACGCGGCAGCAACGCGAGAAGGATGAGAATTGTCGAGGTGGGCCTGCCTAAAGCAAAGGGTGCAGCCAACAGCGCAGTACGTCGAACGCGAGGCGCGCCCTAAACGTCAGTTACCGTCGCCGTCGCCGTAATTGAACCGTAATTCCTGACATTCGCGATCGTATTCACGCGCGTGAGCAGTTCCGCACGCGCAATATCCGAGGTGAGGAACAAGAATATTTATCGCGAGTACCGACGTACGTATGCACGTTAGCGCATATACGGCAGCAGAGGAGAAGGCAAGGGAAGAGGCGGGGAAGAGAAGAGAAGAGCGACCACATCGTACGTTGGACACGTACCTAGGAGAAAGCCCGTCAACTTCTACTACGAGGTACTGCGCGTATAGCTTAACGACCGATCGGCATAAAGGACCATCCAGCACACGGACCTTACCGCACATATCCCGTTTTATCACCCGGCTTTCTGCCCTGCCGCTCGTTTTCCCGCTGGACGTCGTTTCCCGCTGCTATAGTTGCCATTCGCGACGATCTCCGATCGAGATGGAACGTGACAAATTCTAGACAATTCCCGGCTCTCGCGACTTCCTCACCCGCGGAAGAATATAATTTTATTCTTAGCGGAATCCTCGGAATCCCAGAGGGATTCTTACTCTCGTATATAGTCTCGAGAGAACTCATATAAAACTAAAAGGAAAATATTCTAAGCACGACACTCTTGAGGCACAATACGCGAAGTAAACTTGGCGTAAGTTGGAGTAAGAAATAAAAATAATCTATTTCGCTTACGTTCCTCCATGCTACAGCTCGCTTTTACACCGGAAGTTATCTTCCTTACTTTCTCACATATCCTTAATATCTCACATCTAGATCAGTTTCGTTATGACTGCAAGACTATTTTTTCTCAATGCGAATAATCATCACGAAAGAATGTTTTGTTAGTCCACATAGAATTCTAAATGTCACAGTTGGAACTTATCGCTGTTTTCTGCTAGAACATTATCTATGAGGTGCGTAAAACGTATATAGCATTGCAGATCAATTTACGTACAGATCAATATGACAGGTTGCCTATGCGTTTCGTTGGCAGACGCACGTAGTAGTGCGCGATCTGAGCAGATCTTGGCCGAATGTTCACTTGGAACTTCATAGAAAAGGAAGCGCGCTGAGATCACGCATAATTGCGTGCGTCTGCCAGCGAAACGGATAGACAACCAGTTGTAGTGACCTGTATGTAAGTGCAGCATACTTGTGTTACAACAAACGTGCTACAGCAGCAGCGTTCTAGCTATATTTGCAAGCAAACTTAGACCCCGTTACTAATTATTAATCCAACCTTGACGCAGAGACACTTTCTTGCTCCATTTTACGAATATTTCAAGTAGAAATTCCGTCTCCATCATCTGTATCGATGGAATACAACACATATATCGCAGAGTTTGCATTTATATCCATTATTAGCTAATTTTTTATATCTAAATATTTTCCTAAGTGATTTCCTCTTGATTCAAGGGGAAAATATTAAAATAACATCCAGTAAATTTCAGATTAATAGTCCATTTCATTGAAAGAGGAATACTCATTCAATGAAAGTTTTCGCTTAGAAAATGGAATTGCAGAAAATATCTTGTAACTAGAAATCTTTTTTTCTTTTTTCGCTTGCCGGCTTTCTCTTCCTCCTCTTTCTTTCTTTCTCTTTCTCTCTCTCTTTTTCTTTCTGCCTTTCTTTCTGTCGCGAAATTCACGAGACCGCCGCGCCGGTTTGGCGGCCGTCTGGGTACGTCAGATCGATAAAGGGAGATGGAAACGCGAAGTGGCCCTCGCGAAAAGTTTACACGTATCTTTTTAGGTTCTCGACTTTTATCGTGCTCTCTTTTATCACGCTGCCGTATCCGCGCTGTCGCGCTACCGACGGATTATTACTCAGGTCGCTATCACGTATCGCCGGACAGTAGAACAACGTCTCCTTCTTTCTCTCTCTTCCTCGGAAGATGTATGCGCGCGGGGTATCTCGCGGAATTTCAAATTTGCAATTTGAAATTCGACGAACACCGACGGATCGTTTAACCGACGACACCCCCGCTGATTGCTTGCGCAAGATTCGTCATCGGCCAGTACGTGACGGTGCACGGCGACGTGATATCTCACGTCAACATAAGCCACGTGATGGTGGAGGACGGAGGCGAATACTCCTGCACCGCGGAAAATCGCGCGGGAAAGGTGACACATGCTGCGCGGCTGAATGTTTACGGTACGTAACTTCCGCTAATTATTCCCATCTGTGTGTGTGTATAATGTGAAATAAATTATAATTAATTTCATACATGCGCGCGTCGGCGCCAGTGAGGTCGGCCCCCGAAATTGACGTCGCGTCATTCTGGCGCCCCTCTAGATTTTTAATCGGGCTAGACCCATCGGCGCGAGCAGCCGATCATCAATTACGATGATCGTGTAAACCAACGTAATTATAGGAGCTCTTTTCCTCTCTCTATCTCTCTTTCGAAGCAAAAGCGCATATACTGTATTTGATTGTCACGTGGTTTGTAGCGCGCAGCAGTGTGCAAGCACTTAGAATCGACAATTCCATTAATGGACACGCCTGAAAAAGCGCGACATGTGTAAAACAGGAAAAGACACTTAACAAAAAATCGCGTCACGCGGCTTGTTTTCCAACCGGTTCGCTCATTCGTCGAGCCCGGCACGCGCTGAAAAGCCACGCAAAAGGAGAAAATACGGAATTTCCCGTTCAGGACTGCCGTACATACGTCTCATCCCGAAAGTGACCGCGGTCGCCGGCGAAACTTTGCGTTTGAAGTGTCCGGTGGCCGGATATCCGATTGATGAGATCAAGTGGGAGCGGGCGAATCGCGAATTACCGGACGACCTGCGGCAGAAGGTGCTGTTGGACGGCACTCTGATGATCAGCAGCGTGCAGAAGAAGGGCGACGCCGGCGTGTACACCTGCTGGGCGCGAAACAAGCAAGGCCACAGCGCCAGGCGCTCCGGCGACGTCGCCGTGATCGGTAAGGCCTTCACTTTCGGTTCCTCCTGATAACGAATGTCGCAGATGAGGATGATGGCCAATTTCTCGCGCGACCCACGAGGATGCCGATCAACCGCGGTGCTCACGTATACCAGGAGACGGCACGACGACAACAACGACGACGACGGGCTACGTCGTCAACTCAAGAGGGCAAACCGGAGAACACTTGGTCGAGTCCGCTCGTTGGGGAACGAGGGACGAAAACGAGGTCAAAATAGGCTCGGGAAGGATGATTGCGGGAGGGAGGGAGAGAGGGAGGGAGGGAGGGTGGGAGAGTGGAAGGGGAACGTTGGGGACGGCGGTAAATAATTTCTAGGATGACGCGGGAGGAGGCAGAGACACGCCATGTTACCAACCGCCGTGTCCTATGTATGACCCACGCGCTCACGAGCTGTCTCGTTGTTATTATTCCAGTTCCTCCCAAAATTAGCCCGTTCACGGCAGATCGCGACCTGCACCTCGGCGAGCGCACCACCCTGACGTGCTCGGTGACCAGGGGCGATTTGCCGCTGTCCATCACGTGGCTCAAGGACGGACGCTCGATGGGGCCGTCGGAGCGCGTGACTGTCACCAATATGGACCAGTACAATAGCATACTGATGATTGAAAGTTTATCTCCAGATCACAACGGCAACTACTCGTGCGTGGCCCGTAACGTGGCCGCAGAGGTATCGCACACGCAGCGGCTTGTGGTTCATGGTAATCCTCCTCTAGGCCCCCTTCAATTTTGCCCGACGACCGCCTGACCGCCCGAGTTTTGCGTGCGTGTGTGTGTCCGTTGCGTGCGTGCGAAATACGACGGCCGGTCTCGGCGATGGGCTGCGCGTCGCTCGCGCTCAGACAAGTCGCTTGGCCGACCATCACCGGCCAACGGTCCCGCGAGAAATCTGTCGAAATCCGCGCCGAATAGTCATCCAGCCATCCGAATGAACCATTCGCTCGAGCCGGGACCTCAAAAGATGCGCGCAGAGTTGAATCACGTGGACGACGAAGCGTTATATCCGCGGCCCTCGAGCGAGACCCCGTCGACCTTTCGTCGCCAAGGAACGTAGAGACTTGGCGACTTGTAATTAAAGATTGCTCACGCTTAGCGTGACTCTTCCTTATGCACGATACCCGCCTCTACCTCTCCCACACGTCCTCGAAGGGAAGCCGCACTACTATCGGCTTCTCGAGAGCGACGCCGCGCGTTTCCTCCCGCGCGTCCAGTCGTTTGACGATCTCCCGCGATCCGCGGACGCCTTCCACTTTGAGAGGGCACACGTTCGCTCCAATTTTCTTGAGGATGATGTATATATAGTCCCGTGCCCTTTAGGAGAGAATTGTAAGACACAAAATGCGCGATCGGTGATCGGGTATATCTCGGAGGAAACGCCGCGGTAGCTTCGGAAAAAATGAACGAACGCTCGCTCTTGCGTTGGAAAGGATCGGATGCTGCGCGCAAGTGTGCGATGCCAAACTATGTGTACAAGGTGTGAGGGCGTCAGGGGCAGGTCCGCGGCGGGGCCACCCTCTCTCTCCTCTACATTGCTACGTTACTATACTGCCTCTATTGTACATATTCTACATATATATACATATTATATTCTATATATATATATCTATACATATATACATGGACGTACTACTGTCTATATGATGCGGAAGCGGAACGAAAACGAAAAGAAAGAAAACAAGAGAAGAATATATATACATATATACACACACATACATATATATATACCTCCACCGAAATTGTGTGTGTATATATACATATATATTTATGCATATATATATGAAAAGAACACATATACCTGGTATACAAGGTTCTTGCGTTTTTTGGTGCCATCTTTTTCTTGCTCTCACGTATGGTTCTCTCTTCTCTCTTGACCTTTTCCAGTACCCCCTATTATTGAGCCATTTACGTTCCAAGAGGGACTATCCGAGGGGATGCGGACGCGGACGGTGTGCGGGGTCGCGGCGGGGGACCCACCCCTAACCATATCCTGGCTGAAAGACGGCCAAAGTCCTTTTCCCCTGCCACCGAATCTCGCCTCCGTCGCAAACGTCTCCCAACTGGATCCTTACTCGAGCCTCCTCAGTATAACGAACCTCGCGGCCGAGCACTCCGGCGACTATACCTGCGTCGCCGCGAACCCCGCCGCCGAGGTCAGGTACACGGCCAAGCTACAGGTAAAAGGTAACTAGATGATCGCCGACCCCTGGTCCTATCGCTCCTAATGATCACCTCGCCACCCTTCGAGATATCGTTCCACCCCGACCATCACGACTAAAAACGATAGATTCAAGCTGCTCGGCTCTGATATCAGATAATATCTTCATTGGTGTGTTTCAAAAGAAGCCGCGATCTGTTACTCGGCACGAGTAACTTCCAGTTCCTTTCGTATCCGCGCGCGAGTTATACGAATTGTTGTCGCTCCAACAACAGATGGTGAATGCGCGCGCGCGCGCGCGCGAACTTGTACGTGTGCGCGCGTGGCGCGACGGTAGAATAGAAGAGTTTCTCGTCAATTTATTGGTACTCGCGCCACGCCAGTTATATTATTGCAGAAGATAGTCGCGAGCGGGTTTTCGGTGTGACGTCGATATTCCGTAACGAAGTTTCGAAATTTGTCGGGCTCGGACGTCACCCTCTGGAGATCTGTCCCGTGGTTCCCGCCTTCCCTCTCGTCACTCGCCATTTCATCATCCGCCGGCTATCGACATATCGCCGCGCTTATTGACTCGGTTCCCGCTTCACCATAGTTCATCATAGCCGTGTTCTCGCCAGGATGTGACGTTTCGAGAGACGCGGTCCACGTGGAACCATACCCCGGACTTAAAGACGACACCGTCGAAATTCCGAGCGTGATCACGTTCACCCCCGGGCGAGATCACGATCATCACTGCTCCCGACTGCTCCTTTCTCTCCACCGGCCTGTCCTCTTCTCCCTGTTACCCTCGACCGATCGGATTTCTTCCTCGAGATCCAGTCGAGACTCCTTCTTACCCCAGACACAGTGTGTATTACATTTGCGTTGCTTTGGCTCTCTGGGAATGCGTCGGTATCTCGTGGATCCCCGAGGTTTGCTTGACTTGACCGAATAATAAAGGTAACAGTTTGCACCTTTCCTTATTTTTTACTCGTTTCAACAACTACAACAGCAACATCAGCAACTGCAGCTACAGTAAATGAGAACGATCAGTATATAAAAAAGAAACAAAAGAACGAGAATGAAAGAAAGAAAAAAAAAAGAAACATAAACTCTCTCTTCTGGCCTGCGTGCGTGCGTGTGTATGTGAGCATCGGTTCTTCTTTAATCGGCATGGTTACATCTCTTTTACGTAGCCGTAGATATCTCACTCTGCCTGCACATTTTTTACATGTAAATATATCTATATATACATATATATACACGTATATATTTATCTCTGTGTGTGTGCGTGTGTTTATCGAATTATATATTTAATTATATATATATATATGTATGTATACACGCCCCCCCGAAGTATCTCTTGTTATCACCCGAGTACGAGCACGTGCCACTACGCTCACGACCAAATCTTCACCGATCTTTGCGCTGGCTCTTCCTTTGGGCTCGTTGGAAGGCAACCTTTATTCACTTCTGCATGCTTTCTCACCATATCTATCTATCTATATAACTCTATCTCTATTACACATACACACATACACACACTTTTTCTTTCTCTCTGTCTCTCTCTCTCTCTCTCTCTCCTCTCCCCTCTCTCTTTCTCTATCTCTTTCTTTTTCTGGGTCTTCGTGTTTCTTTCTCACTCTTGCTCTCTATCTGTCGGTCTGTCTGTCTGTCTGTCTGTCCGTCCGTCCGCCCATCTTTCTCTTCCTCTTTTTTAAATTTCTTTCGTCGCGACGGGACGAGGAGGACGCTCGCGCGTAACGTTCGCCGCAGCAAACTCTCCTTCGCGCAAAAGTGGGAAGAAGTAACGGTCCCGCGAGCGCAATAAAAAGGCCTTAAGCTCGTCGGGGCGGCCGATAAAGCTCCCGAGTTCTCGGCGCGCCTCTCAGAACCTCTCGGTATTAAGCTCGAGCGTTGAAAGCCCGAACGCGCGTCCTCCGTCTCGTCGCGACGAGCGGTAATACGTAGGCTAGTAGTACGTATATTATTAATTAAATTCGTACTTTATCGAACTAGTCGTTAGACGCGGGTACTTATATATACATATATATTGTTATTATTATTATTATTGTTATCGTTATTATTATTATTCGCCTCCCTCACGAGATCCGCACCCAGACACATCCCGCCCGTACACTTGCGTACCTCTCTCTCTCCGAGAGTTCTCTACTTGTTTCTCTCACACGCCATCGTGTTTGGCTCGAGTATATATATATATCTGTATACTCACATGTTACATATATTATATACATATACGTCTGTATCTCTCTATATATCTCTATCTATATATATTATTATATATATACATATATATATATTGTCGCACGCGATCGATGCGTGGCCGATATTTTGCCGTCTTGTGAAACGTTGGAATACTTCCCACTCTATCACAGTATCTCGCTTGTGCAGCGTTTTTTTCACCACAGTAAGAAGTAGAACCTGCCAAATACAATATACACCTGATCGTAAAACAGATACCACAAACCCCCTCTACGAGACTTTTGTCGAACAAAATCGATGCGCGACGCAACAAAATCACGCGCCGGGCAGTTTGTCGTTTTGTACGGCAACGACCACCGGGAGTCGGGATAAAGCATCCGTGTCTTCTTCTCTCATTCTCTCTGTCTATCTCTATCTCTCATTCTCTCTCACTCTCTAATCTGTTTTTTTTTTTTTACCTTTGACGAGCTGAGAGCTATATATTATACATACTATACGTATTATATTGTCATCACGCGCTATCATAGAAACGCCTTCGTTCGTTGTCCTTGTGGTAGCTCCTAGGAGAGTTAACGTTGCAGATAATAGATGATCGAATCCTCCCCGCCTCAGTCACTTTCCTTGTTACCTTGTTACGGTGTACATAGAGGTGAATTGTCTGCTGCTGCCTGCGTGCGTGCGAATGACACGAGACTTTATATCAATTTGACACCCGCGAAATACGCCTCGCATCGATTCACGCCACCCTGATTCTCCACTCTGCCCAGCCCACATGACTTACCTTCATTCACTCTGTCTTCTCGTATCTTTATCAGTTTCTTCATCATCGATCGCGCAACGGTAATGCGACGCGGAACACCGCGAGAGATCTCGCGGACTGAGTTCGCAGGTCGTACGAAGAACGAGGAGAGCTGTTTTGTCGCAGTTGCCGAAAGAAAATCGATCGTACGAACAGACAAACGGACGAACGAACATACGAACATACGAACGAACGAAGCGATGGAGTCCCAGTGGGACGGAGGCATCCAAAATTCAAAATTGCGATTTATACAATAAAAAGAGAAGAAATTGAATACATTTTCTAAATCATATAAATTAAATCTTCATATATTGTGGTGTGAAATAATATAAACAAGTTTATTTCGTATTTGTATAGAAATGTGAGAGTGAATATATTGCTTTTCATGTGTATTATCTATTTCTTTTGTTGTTGAATATTTCAAGTTAACAAACAAAAGCATAATACAAAAAAACCTATTGCTATTGAAAATACTATTGCTGAACTTATAAGATATATGATAAAAATTTATTTACTTTAATAAACAATATGTTAAATAATATCTCTTTGAACTCTCTGTTTCGGGATTAAATTTTCACATATAAATCAACGTACAGTTTTCGCAACCTACTAGAACCACTTGAATAATTTCGGAAGAATATATATTATAAATTAATTATTATGCGATAATTTTGTTGTAAGATGCCATACGCTCTCTAGGATAATCAAATATTCGTTTGTTAACAACACGGGCAAAGCGTTATTATTATTATGTTATTATACGCACGCGCGGACTTATATAAGACGTATCTTAAAAAGGTCTCGATGTCATCTACAAGATATTCCCGTTTGAAAAATTCAATTCACTTTCACATAATTTTAAGGGAACCTAAGGTCTCAAACTGTTATTACTATTAAGTAGGTTTTTTTAAAGCTCTACAACTTTGCTTCTTACATATTTTTTTTTACCGTAATTCTAAATATTGAAAATTGAAAAAGAAATAGCGAACTCGTCCCACTGTGCGAACGACAGACGAACGAACGAACGAACGATACAGCTTGCTATAACGCGCGCGAGAAACCATATATCTACCATCGTATACCACTCTTTTTCTCTTTCTCTCTCTCTTCTCACGCCTGGTTTTCGTTTGAGATTCGATCTCTTTGACGTGTAGAGTCGCGTTGCGCGTCGAAGCACAAGAACGTCGTCCCTTTCGTTTGCGCCGCGTCTTTTTTCTCTCGACTCTCTGCCTGTCTTTCACGCAAAAAGAAAAGACAATCAATAAATACGTACCTGTCTCTAAATCGCTAACGACCAGTAAAGAGCAAGACATAAGTTGACCGTGGGGCGACCAGCGGCGGACTCGTGTAAAGCGGAACTCTCTGACTTGCAGTGCCGCCCAGGTGGATTGTCGAACCGACCGACGTGAGCGTCGAGAGGAATCGCCACGTCTCGCTGCACTGCCAGGCGCAGGGGGTCCCGACGCCGACGATTGTGTGGAAAAAGGCCACCGGTGAGAGACACTATTATTGATTGATTGATTTTGGGAGAGACCGGGACTATATGGCCTCAAGAACTCACGTGCCTCTATGCTTTTTTTTAGTATTTATCTTGAAAAAAATAGTGAGTGCAGAATCGCAAAATAGTCTTTTTAGAACATAAATATTTTTCCCGAAGTTTCATTAAAGTCAGACTAATAGTACAGTTAAGAAATAAAAAAAGAACTGATCACAGTAAAGTGTAAATTTTCGAGCCTCACGAAATTTTTTATTAATATTCCTCATCGTGACTGAATAAAATTAAGGGATGTGTTATTAGATAGAATGAACTTTCTTGCAGGTGTACGATATATTGTTTTTGGTAATAAATGCAATTTTCATTTTAATTCATCATTATAAAATGATTGAAATCGAGCATATGGGCGAACGAGGTAAAGTTGGACCATAAATAAGGGTCGGCGAGAGGACTATGGGGACCTCTCGCGGAGACTCTGGAATTACTAATCAAGATACATATTTCATACATGGCCTACTTTTACCCTGCGCTACTAGGCAACTGAAGCCGGTATCAGGGCAAGATGATTATATTGCTGCATGTTCGTATTTTGGTTATTACAAAATAAAATATACGGTTAACAGGACTGCAGCGAGCATTAGTACGTAGAAGAAGGTTGCCTCTATCATGTTTATCCAATCAGTCACCACAATTAGTTGCCTGAGAAGTCGTAACTTCGAAATTTTTAAATATAGAGTATCTAGCTCTGGTCTCTCCTAACAAATGTATGCAAACTTCGGATTTCGACATGTGTCCGCGATAATTTATTTAATTGATCGGAAACTTACTAACGAACTCTACTGTGTGAAGTTTCCTTGAAAAAAAACCTTTTGAATAAGAAATCGCAACGCGTCGTGTGCGTGTGTGCGTGCAAAATTGTAGGATCTAAGGAAGGATTTTTCGAAATAGGAAGCAAAGCCGGTGATTACGAGGAGTTGCGCGAGCGAACGTATACGAAAATCCTCAGCAACGGCACGCTGCTGCTGCAACACGTGAAAGAGGACAGGGAAGGCTTCTACCTGTGCCACGCGAGTAACGGCATAGGAAGCGGTTTGGGCAAGGTCGTGCAATTGAAAGTCAATTGTGAGTATGCGGGGGCGCGCGCCTCCCCCTCGAGCGGCGCGACCCCCTCGAGCGCGAACAAAGTTCTCGCGGTAACGCGAGAACGTTAATAGAGGCACGAGTACGCTAGAGAGAGAGAGAACGGGGGTGCGTTTCGCGCTCGAGACGCTTTAACGCTACATCCCCTATATCGCCAGGCTCACGCTCTTAATTAAGTGTGTGTGTGTGTGCGTGTGTGTGTGCGCCGCCACTCGGGCGGATTTTACAGCGTCTCCGTATTTCGCGGCGCCGTCGCGGCTTGTAACCGTAAAGAAGGGGGACACGGCGACGTTACACTGCGAGGTGCACGGCGATAAGCCGGTTACCGTCACCTGGCTGAAAGGCGGCAAAACCGAGCTGAATCCCTCGACGAATTACCGGTAAGTCGAGATTAACCGCGACGGAATCGCCGTCGGGAGCGGAGCGGGGCCGCGCGCACAAGTCCGACAATCGATACGCGATGAATTAATTAGAGCGCGCGGGCCGCGCGCACATCCGCAAAATCTCGGCCGTGTCCGCGATTTTCGTTAAATTGTCATGCCGCGCCGTGTCGTTCGCGGCGAGCCGCGTGTTCATTGCGCGAGGCGGCGCCGCGCTGCACTCGTCGAGCATCCGTTCATCCATCCATTCATCGATCGATCGATCGATCGATCGATCGTGTCGGCCGGAATTTGACAAATTAGATGTAACGGTTAAGGTATTAATAATGCGTAACGCAGAGAGAATCGACCGACCGATGATTACGCGCGCGCGTTCGCACCAAGTGGATCCACTCGAGAGAAGTCCAAGAGTGGCGGGATGCGATCGGAAATCCGGTTTATTAACGGAAAAATACGCAGGAATATATATATATATATATATATATATATATATATATATATATACACATATATATGTATATACCGTTCTCACAAAGCGGTGAGAGAGTTTCCGGCAGGGACAGAATTAGCATTCCACAAACGATGTGATCGCGCGCGCGCGTACATGAATATTTCATACTTTTTACACCGTTCATAAAGTTTCTAATGGATTCTCGTAAATCCGCGACAAAGCGTGGCAGTGAAGCAGGAGGTGACGCCGGACGGTGTCATCGCGCAATTGCAAATCTCATCGGCGGAGGCCACGGACAACGGCGCATACTTCTGCCAAGCGAGCAACGTTTACGGCCGCGATCAGCAGCTGGTGCAACTCCTCGTGCAAGGTACGAGGTTTGTAGGTCAATTCCCACCCGTTGCCCTTCCGACTCCCTGCCGCCCTTTCCCCTCTCCACTCTCGATATAGAATAATTGAATTCCAAATGTGATACTTGCGCCCTGCGTGCGCTGTATAGGAAAATTTTGTTTATACAGGATGTCCCATGATTACATACACTAAAAAAGCGTGTTTCTGGGGTCGATTTAAAGAACTTGCTATAAACACGTCGAGAATTCATAATGATCACCTAACTAAAGACGTTCAAATTTAATTGAGTTTTGAAATGCCTTCTTATTGAGAAGAAAATGTCCAACGATAAATAGAATGGAATAGAATTTGTATAGAAACCAAAATTATTGAACAGAAATAAAAATCGCATAAATTGCTCAAATCGACGTCCTTTGGTTACGACACATCGTGCGCTGCGACTTAAAATGGACAGAGCAGTCGCACGAAGAACCTCGTGATTACTTCTTATCTATCAACTTGTGTCATTGATATAATAAAGTTGCATTAATATAATAAAGATCTGGTTTTTACTGATGTTTACCTCCTTGTCTGAAGGAGAGAAATCTTTTCTCGGAAGATTTTAATCTTAGAAAAACACATCACAAAGTTATGTAAATTCTGAACGTAGATAAGTCTTTTTTTCATTTGTTCAAAACTTACGGAAAAATTATGAAAATTTAAAATCCTTTTTTTTTAATCGGTGTAAAAAACATCAAGAAATATGAATCTATCAATATTTTGCAATTTAATAGAATTTAAAAAAGTTATAAACAACACAATACATGTTTTTAAGAATGATAACATTTGAAAAATTGGTCTTGTTAAATTTTACCAATGTTTAGAGTTCTAAGATTAAGAAAATTAAATCAAATCTATTTGATAGCCTGGTACATCTGTATCTAGCTATTATAAATTGCATCCATGCTTATAGAAAGTTTTCTGCTTAAACTGATTCGCGCTTTCTTAGTATGTACAATTCATTATGGGACACCTTGTGTATACATATAAATGTATATCTATATTACTATATGGAGTATATGTATATAGATTGACACACACACGCGAGAACATTAATATCGAATTCCGTGCGTTTTAGAGCCGCCACAACCACCGAATGCCCTAGAAACTGCCATGGTGGCGAGTCGAAGCATTAACGTTAAGTGGCAGCATAAAGCACAGGACACCAGCGAGGTCAGCAAATATATTCTTCAATATAAAGAGGGCGAAGGTAAGTTGACGAACAGAGTATATAGATGCTGCGTGAAACAGCGGCTTGTCGAAATGAGGCGGACTTCGAATCGACGCTATTTCACAATCGGTCGCTCCGAGAAAATCGATAAGTAATTTATTCAGCCGTATTTATTTATTCCGATATAACATACGTCTCTCTATATTTTTCGATAATTCTCATGTCAATCCCATTTTGCAAAAATTGCTTGTCCTCCCCGCGCGCGAATTGATTTTTACGAATTCGCAAAAATGTGTGCGAGCGAGAGCCCGTATGATTTTTATGATTGCTTCACGATCGTTCGTGAATCGGGACTGCCACCAGGTGGAATGTGGCAACAGCAGGAATTCACGGGGCCACCCCTGCCGTACGCGGCGTTAATTGACGACTTGAAACCCGCTACGAGGTACACCATACGCGTGATAGCAGAAGGACCGGCTGGTCGGTCAGTCCCTTCGGCGGAACTCATCGTCAGGACAGAACCGCAGAGACCAGCTGGTCCGCCAATGAATCTCGCAGCCAGAGCGCTCTCCTCGTCCGAGATTCTCGTCACTTGGTCACCGCCATTGCCGGAACTCCGTCACGGTGACATACAGGGCTTCAACGTCGGCTACAGAGAAACGAGGTAATACGGAGTCCTCGATGCGGAGCGAATCAGCCATTAAATTGTTATTAAATCATGTCCAAGTTCTGCTTGACTGTCTGTCTCATTTACAGAACCAAGAAATTGTTCGCAATTGTTGAGACTTATTTTTGGAATTTTCTTCTTGACGCAATCATTACTAACTTATGGTGGTGCTGCATTTTTTTTCTTTTCCTTGAATTATTTTCGTAAAGTATTCGCTACCTGATTCAGGTTTTCGTTTCTAGTATTTGATGACATTATTGTATACTTCAAGGGGTTCTGGGGTTGAAATAGACTGTAACTCTGACCTCTCTGACTCATCGGTTCTGTTCTGTTTCAGCCTGAACAATCCGTCGTACAACTTTAGTTCCGTGTCAGGCGACGGAGAGGAAGGCGGCGGCGAGCTTCGACTGACAGGTCTCAGACCTTATACTAGGTACACCCTGGTCGTTCAAGCGTACAACCAAGTCGGACCAGGACCTCTGTGCGAGCCGTTGCTCACACAGACCTTGGAAGACGGTAATTACATGTGAAAATTATACATCACATCAATGATCACACATCAAGACGGGCATTATAGAAATATCTATCGAATCTCTTGAAATTTTCATCTCAGCTTTGTATTCATTGTTAATTTCCTTTCTTTTCTTTTTTTTTTACTTATCCTTTTTATCGTTATCCTATTTAATGGAAATGATTTGAGCAAGAAACGTAACGAACGAGTTTGTAGTGCCCAGCATGCCACCGGACGACGTGAGATGCGCGGCTCTCACCTCTCAGTCCCTGCAAGTGTCCTGGCAGCCGCCGCCTAACACGCACAGCAACGGCATCGTCCAGGGCTACAAACTGAATTATGAGCCAATCTTAGCGGACGCGTGGCGCGGGGTGGACGAGATGGAGGTGATTACTTCGCGATTCGATCGTTCACTTTACGCGTAATCTCCTAATCCGAATCGATTAATTAATCTTGTTTAGGTACGCAAGACAAGTGCTTTGACGACCGTTCTAACTGGGCTCAGGCGGTACACAAATTACACCATTCAAGTGCTGGCTTACACCAGAGTCGGAGACGGTGTGCCCTCCACGACGATTTACTGCCAAACGGAGGAAGACGGTAATATACACTTGAATATCTCAGAACAATATATATATATATCTCTCTCGCTCTCTTTCTATCTATCTACCTATCTATTTATCTATCTCTCTTCTTCTCTTTCTTGCTTTTTCGATTGAACCTCATTAAGTGTTTTCTTCCCGTTGTTTGTCATAGCGCCGGGAAGTCCGGCCGATATTAAAGTCGCCGTGAGCTCGCCGCAGGCTCTCTTCATCTCGTGGCTGCCGCCACTCGAGCCAAACGGAGTTATCACGAAATACAACCTTTACACAAGGTATTAAATATAAATTAAAATTCGGATTATCTTTTTCACGCCCCTCGCGTTTGCCTTCACATTTATGCATGAAAATTGCATCGAACGATACATTCTCTTGAAACATGACAAATTAAATTTATCTCGTATATGTATAGGGAAGGAAGTGGGAATATAGGTCACTTTTTAGCTTTAAACGAAAAATCCGATATTAAATGTAATAATTGTTGTCCGAAGGCCCAATATTAAATGCAATAACTGCAGAAGTGTTAGTAAAATATCCCCATTAATTAGGAAAAAAGAATAAATAATTCGAGGAGTACAAAGTTTATTTATGCAAGCAGTAGGATTTTGAAAAATGGGGAGGTAATGTGAAACAGACATAAAGACTTACTTTTTATCGTTATAAAGTTGTTGAAATAACTTTTTTTAATTCAATTCTTTTCAATGTAAATTTACAAGTAGTTCAATTGGGAGATCAATTGCTTAATAAGTCAACCTTTCACATAAAAACTTTCATATTATCACCTTGTTTCATATTTCCCCTAACAAAAATTTTCCTATGTAACAGAAATTTCGTGTATAATGAAATTTCGATTCGCGAGTCCGCGAAAGATAATGAAAAATAACCCACAGAGTCATGGACGGTCGAGAGGAGCTGAATCACGGCAAGAAGTCTTTGCCGGCGACAAGCACGTACTTCGAGGCGACCGACTTACAGCAACACGTGGAGTACCAGTTCTGGGTGACCGGAAGCACTCGCGTTGGCGAGGGTCAGAGCTCGAAGGTGGCCGCTCAAGTGCCGACGAATCGAGTGCCGGCGAGAATCACATCCTTCGGCGGGCACGTGGTGCGTCCGTGGCGGGGTTCAGTGACTCTGGCGTGCAACGCGGTCGGCGATCCCACGAGGGAATGGTACAAGGGTACCACTGAGCCGATACGCACGGATTCAGCCAGAAACCTGCAGATCCTGCAGACCGGAGAGCTCGTGCTGTCGAACTTGCAGTCGCAGGACAGTGGCAATTACACCTGCCAGGTGGAAAACTCGCAGGGCAGCGACAAGCTGCACTACACTCTGACGGTGCAAGGTAATCCCTGCCTTCTATTCATTTTCTTCTACGTATTCCTTGTCGATTTTCCCATTTCTCGTTGTTCCGTCGCCTTTTCATTATTTTTTCTTATTATCCTAAAACATTCTTGATTCAATGAAACGGAAATCTCGCGGGACAACTGTGATATTGAAATGTCGCCGCAATAATTACAGTACTGCTGAGAAATTTTGAATAAACACCGTCTTGAGAGACACTGAAACGTGTGAATGAATGTGTTATGTTTAAAGTTACCTCATTTGCCCTTCGGGAAAGCTGCAGAATATGTATGCGACTGTACCTATGTTCGCCATATTGGATCCGCCATTTTGAATTTTCAAAATCTGACCTCAGATTTAAATTTAGCGTCCCCAAGAATCTTCGGAAACCCATGCACAATCAAATCGAATGAAATTAAGCATAGAAAAAATAGAATAGTTCCGGTTTCTCCGCGATATCGTGTCTCTTGTCCCCGATAATGCTGTATATATCCCCGACCATAATTATTCGACTCTTTTACGATGTTGTTACTGCTGTTACGTGATTGCGATGTCGATAATTTCGCTAAATGTGGTTTCATGATGGCAAGTCGCGGCAAATATAAATTACATTGTAGCGACTAACGATTAATTATCAGCAGCATGAGGGATATTAGGTACGCTGTAAAATAACACCGAATGTTGCAGTGCCGCCTAGCGCGCCGGTGTTGTACGTAACCAGTTCCACGTCGAGCAGCGTGTTATTGCACTGGAAATCCGAGCATAACGGCGGTGCGCCGCTGACAGGCTACACATTGTATTATCGGACTACTCACGGCACTCTCGATGAGTTACAGTTATCCCGCCACGCTACCAGCCACGAACTTAAGGTAAACTCGCTCGAAATATTAATTCGCGATATCAGTCGCCACTAAGAAACGTCAATTTTTACGGGACAACACCACCCCCCACACAATTCAGAGATTTAATAAATGTATCGAGTCGATCACGATAAGTTCGGTTCGTTTTCTCAAACAAATTAGCATTTTATAGCGTTTAACTCTACGATCCTAAACACAAAAAAATTACGTAAACTTTAAACATGGATTAATTTTACTCCCAGCGCATTTTCATTCGCTCATAACTTCCGGGAAAATTATCAAAATTTAATTTTGTATTTTTTTATCGGTATATCGAGGAATATGAGTCTATTAATGTCTTTGCGATTCAATAAAGTTGGAAAACGTTACAATAAAAAAACGAAACATATGTTTGTAAAAACGATAACATATGAAATATTGACATGGGTAAATTTTATTCATATTTAGGGTTAATCAAAAGAATTTATATAAACACTAATAACACAATTTAAATTGGTTCTGAAAAAAGAGAACTAATCTAAATACACCTGAATTGATGTAGATAAGAAATTTGAGTTTATATAAAAACTGATAGTATGAAATCTGAACGCACGCTACCTACGGTTTATTTGAAGAACTCTTCCCACAGATCACCTCGTATTTTTTTACGTGACTGTGTAAAATAAACATAAATAAGTTAAGATAATATAAACACAGAGAAAAATTTTACACACATACCTTCTATGTATCGCTGGTCTCTTGTGAGAGATCATTGCGTAACACATCTATGACGTTGGTGGCGAGCGTGTTAATCGACAACTGGCGATTTTAATTCCCGAATAGGGTCTGCTATGCGGTAACACGTATCAGTTGTACCTAACGTCGCACAACAAGATCGGCAGCAGTCCGTCGTCGCCGGTGCTTTCCGTTCGGACTCAGGGCCAAGCCCCAGGAATTCCACCCGCGACTGCCTTCCTCAGCCCGAACTCCACCACGCTGGTGTTGCGACTGCACGTGTGGCCCGATAACGGGTGCCCCATCAAGTACTTCGTCATTCAGTATAGGCCGGCGAACGAGTTCCACTGGACTCTGGTGTCGAACAGCGCCAAGATGCAGCGGCGATTCGTAGTGACGAATCTGACGCCCAGCTCAGTCTATCAGCTGAAAGTCGAGGCTCACAACGTAGCCGGCAGCAATCATGCGGAACTCACATTCGTGACGTTGACGAAAGAAGGTGGTAAGTCTGAGGATAGATTACATTGGAAAATATGCATATTTATATCTTTTTTCGCGTATACATATACACAACGCGGCAAACGTGGATATGTAACAAAAGCAATCTCTCCGTCGGGGAAAGATGACGCTGGAAAATATGCGCGGACCGACAAAACCATCGCGTTCAAACACTTATTTCCAAAAGCACTGTGTTCCTGTAACTTTGCAGAACTACCGCCTCCAGGACTCTCGAAGCGCGGCATAACGGCGGTTATGCCGTTTTACTCAGACGTGAAGGTGATCTTGCCGTTGATCGTGGCTACCGTCGCGTTGGTCGCCGCGGCGGTGATCGTCGCCTTTCGTTGGAGGAACAGTGAGTCCATTTTCATGAATACGCACTTCCCAGATTTGCTTCCAAGTACCCTTCATATCATTCGTTTCCCTTGTTATCTTGAATTTCAAAACTCGATTGAAGGAATGATCTATCCGATACTGCGCGACACAGACTCGAAAGCTGCATTTATCCTTGAATCCTTTCGATGTATTACTGCAATATATTTCGTGACGGCAATTGAGAAACTGGACACTTCTATGTTTGCCAGGATACTTGGGGGATCGAGTACAACGGCCGATGAAGGAGTCGCAGGAGAACCAACAGAACGCCGAGACGCAGCGAGAGCGTTACTACGCCACGATACACAAGGTGGCCCTGCAACAGACGGCGAATACGGGTGGCGGGCCCGACAAGATTCCAGGTGAACCTTTGTTACGATACGGACAAGCATCAGGTTTGGTACCCAATTTGCTATAATCACTGTCGCGCAGGTAAAGACTCGGCAGCTTCTGGCGCCGTCGTTCAGGAGTAAAACAAAGTCTCCTCGGAGGAGGAAGTATCGAGAGAATGTACCTCAAAACAACAATTGAGCTTTTGAGTTTCTCTAGAAATTAATTTATTTAATTTTTGTTCTCAATTTTCAAACGAGTAACTTAGAGCGGCCTTACATATCTGATTCGAGCATGCAACATCTAGCATGCAATTTTCAAGCAAATTGTTACGTTCTCGAATGTATTCACGAATGGACGGACGACTGGGAGAGCTAGCCCGACGCGATTTGAAAGGTAGGCAATGCCTCTGGTGGGTTACAGAGACAGCGGAGGACATTTCGCCGTACGCTACGTTCCAGCTTTCGGAGGGTGGCGGGGGAAGCCTGGCAGGGTTGGGCGCATTGGGAGGACTGGGAGGCGCGGCGGAGGCATCAGCGGCCGGTCTACATCCGAACAACACTCTTCTACACAGCTTCATGTATCACGAGCACGCCATGACCGAAGGATGCGCGAGTCCCCCACCGGCGGCGACGGTATTAGCTGAATGTTTCACTTTTCAAAATCATCATTATCTATTGCTTTGGAAATATCACGAATTGCACAAAATTTTGTTGCGTGAAAATAATTTTTACAAATAATCCTCTCAATTAAAAAACCAAGATCGAAAATTTAATACAACAATGATGAGGATTTGAATAAGTACCGTCGTAAATTACAGTCACTTTAAAGATGTGATTTGTGCAGAGCATGAAGAGCGTCTCGTCGAGAAGGCGACAGCAGAGAAAGCAGCAAACCCCGGGCGATGTCGAGAGCGACGAGAGCGAATCTGACCCGGACCAACTGATCAGCTCCCGCACGGAGTCGTCGAATCAACTGGACGCTGGCAAATTAAAACATAGTGCGTATCGCAGTCCGTATTTATAACCGAAATTTGCTCGCTTCGCGAGATCCCTTAAACATACGAATTATTGGTCTTTTTTACAGTTCGCGCAGTCTCGGACTTTATCTATCACGGCACGTCGAGCACCTCTTCGGACATTTCACCCATGTCGGAGCAGAAGTCGCTGCCGCGAAGGGGGCGGTCCAGGTAATGCCTGACAAAACCGCAAAAGCACAGATCTCACATTCTCGCACGTTTCTCTCCCCTTCACTTCAGGGAATATTCTCTACGCGGTACAGAGAGAGAATCCGCTGAGAAAAATATTCCCGAGCAGTCTCGAGCTTATTGGAGTCACGATGTTGTTTCCTCTTAAAATGCACGCGAGTCAAAATCGTAAAATTGTTCATCTGTTCTTTGTAGCTGAACTAGCTACACCAGCTTGCACTCTTTCTCTTTCTTTTTCCAACTTTAACTAAATCACAGCTATATACCTGCTTGTTTCTAAGTTCTGAAAGTGTGCATCAGTTCAGCTACTAAGAACAGACTTGTAGCTCACGACCTCACTCCCCACCGTTCTTTCAAGGCCACCTCTCGTCGTAAAACACCTTCGCTCTCGCAATTGTCGCCTAAGTAAGTCTCGTTTGTTTCTCTTCGCTGTCTCGTAAGATGGCATGTTCCCAGCAGGAGCTCTCTACGCACGCTACTGCCGCCAATCTCGGTCGCGGAGACCGCGTTCGTCGGCGGCAATCAGGGGACCGTGGTGCCCACGCCGGGCAACGGCGATCGGCCGGAGCTCAGCGAGGCCGAGTGCGACATCGACTCCCTGAAGAAACTGAAACTGGGTCTGAGGAGCTCCCTGTGGTCGCGACCGAGCACTCAGAATAATCCCTCCTCGGATTACTCCATCGCCGTTTAATCTGCCCTCCCCCATCCATCCAGCTCCTTTTTCCCGCCCTGTCTCTCTGTCCCACGCGACATCACTCTTCCACGGTATATAGCTCTCATCCCCCTCGCAATCCTACGGGCCAAAGATTAGGTAAAATTGATCTTACCCTTCGTGTCTCGTCGAGGATTCCCTCATGGCCGCGTAGGGCCACTCGACTGCCACGGCCACGTCTCTGTCGACGATAGGTAAATTTTACGTTCTACTTGTTCACGACGACCGATAGGGAGAGACGTGAGTAGACAAAATCGAGGGGAAAGTCGAGACAACGAGGGTGGATGCGCGAATAACGAAGGACAACGTCGAGCTGATAGAAAGATAACTGGTCGCTTGAGTTACACCAAGCTTGTCACCGTGCGAGACTTCTTTCGACTCTTAGGATCTTTAGACGGAGACGCGGCCTTCGTTCACAGCTCACCGATCTTGCCTCGTTGTCCTCCTAACGAGTGAGCGCGTCACCTCGTTAATCGATATCGAAAGAGCTAGTCGAAAGTATCTAAAAGCGTGTTGCGTCTGTCTCCTCTTCCTTGCTGCGTGACGCGACGCGTCGCGAGATGATACACGTGCGTGGAGTGCGTGAGTGCGTGAGTGTGAGTCCCGAGCGAGTGCGTGGATGATGGTCGAATCGCGCGTGCGAATGCGTGCCAAAACGACAATTTGCTCAGACCTGCTGCGAGTCGTTCGCCGGCGGGCGATCCATTCGAGACCAAAGACTTAATCATACGAACAGAGCACGGGAGAGTCCCTCGCGAATGACGAATTAAACGGATGGCATGCTGCATCCGCGCGACCCTGCGAGCTGTCGTTCCTCCCCGAGGGAGAAATTCTCCTTTGCACCTTTGTTTCTCGTTACACTTCTATGACCATATTTACTCGTAACTTCACGACAATATTTTTCCGATTGGTACAGTCCCAATCGTGTAAATCAGTTGGAGTTTCAAGTGAGATTCTAGGAGACATTAGTCGTCGGGAGTATCGTGTTCCTGACGCTCGCAAGAATCTGTTCTGCGCGGTTATATGCTGGAAAAATTATCCGACATTATTTCTGTCGCGTTGTCTTTTACTTTTCTTCGCAGACGTTTGCTCTCTCCCGGGGAAAGGAAAAGAACTTGATCTCCCTTCTATTTCACTTAAGAGTGAATATAACGAAGCGGGGGAGAAGCTCTCGCCACCTTCGTGAATACCATGTTCGTCTGTGTTCGGATTGTGCAAGTGTGCTATTAGGATCGGGACGAGATAACGCGGGAACGGACCGGAAGGGAGAAGGAAAATTACAGACTTCGTCTCTGTCGTTGACATGGTTGGGCTCTGTTGCGTTGTAAAGTTTATATACGTACGAATAGCACCGTTGATTACTTTAAGCCCGTTATTAATCCTAAGACTTCTATGTAGAGCGTTTTCCGTGCGCAGAGCGAGACGATCGAGAAGGAGAGTCGAGCGCGAAGCTACTCTTCCCGCTCTGTAAATTTAAAAGGAGAATCGACTCTGTGGTCTCTCCCTTCTGTCTCTCCTTCTCTCTCCCTCTCTCTCTCTCTCTCTCTCTCTCTCTCTCTCTCTCTCTCTCTCTCTCACTCTCTTCTTCAATCTCTCTTCTAATGTCGCGCACTTCGACACTTCGTGAACCGACACGACCAATCACACTGCTGTAATACGATAAGTCGTGCGTGCCAGCGGGGCTCAGACTCTTCAGACTGAAAAATCGAAAGTACCGTAAAAATCGCCAATAGAATTAATCGAGAACGCGCGTATCCTACTGCGCCGCGGAGCTTCCAATAACTTCCACTGCCATACCGCGAGCTAATCACGACTACTTACTGCCGTACACGGGAACAGGGGTGCTCATAGGCGGTGTCGCTTTAAGCACCCCCGAACGAGGAATGAAAGGGAAGAACAGAGAACGCGAAAAAGGAAGGCGCAGAAGTCGTTTTTGTAACTTTTACTGTTCGCGAAATGACGCGAGTTTCTGGGCGCAACCGTTCGACACCCTTTTTTCTCTGCCGCGGACAGGCGCGGCTGTGAGACTCTAAATAGTTAAGTACGCTACATGATGTTTTATATATCCGGACCTGCGATTGTGCGCACGAGTACTTCCACTTTTCCGGTTTATTCGTGGTGCGAACGGAGACCGTGCCGAAGAAACTCGGAAGAGGAAGTTCATTAGTCGCGCGATAACGTCGAGCGCGAAGATGTCGCGAGGCGACGACGACGACGACGACTACGATGAAAATCGAGACGAGCCGTGTGCGCGACACTACGAAGACGAGGCCGTAGGTATACCCGTACGTGAATATACATATATTTGAGTACACGGGCATCAACAAGCGCGTGCATACAGCGGATGTACGACGCATACGTTAATGTACATAAGGGAAGCACGTCAATCAAACTCGTAGTGTTCGATTCATTTGATGGAGCGACCAGCCCTCTCCCATTCGGCGAAGAAGCGGGGGGAGGGGGACGGCGGTGACGGCGTGCGCGAAGTGCGATTCGTCATGCACCGAAAGAGAAAGGTACTTGAGCATTTACAACGGACTATGAAGTTTATTCGTCGAGATAAACCTTATTTCGCAGAAGTGAACCTGGTTTTACGGAAATGGAGCCTGCCCCGTATTCTGAACTCTCCTTTATCGCCGCAGGCGCCTCCAAAAGTGGCTCATATGCCTCGGATTGGCTATGAACCGTTTTTGGAGACGCACTTAGCTGTGAAAGAAAGCTCGGGGTGTGGGCCGTTGCACTCCACAAACAAATTTTCGGGTGTTCTCTTCTCAGTGCGGCGCATTTTTGCCGGACACTTCTCGTCGACGCGCGATTTTTCTATACTTTTCTCTCCTGTCGTTTCTCTTGCGTCACGGGCCGACCGAGTTCTGTCAGTCTCTCGTCGTGACCTTTCCCAGCGGGACCAGTTGCTCTTTGTTGCCGGTGATAATCATAATCGCGAGAGTGGACAATGGACAAAATTGTTGCCAACGGCACGTGCCCGGCACGACCTCTCGGGCGACCGATCAACGAATTTTTTACACATCATATAGAACACACACACCGCGCGAATCTTTCACGAGAGCAAACCGGATTAAGCGACGCACCACCTGCCGTTTATCCGAGCCGTCCACTCGAGACTACACGTCGATCTCTCGTCGACGTGGCCTTTTCATCCTGTTTTTTACATCGGATTTACGTTAAACCGCGAATCGTTACACGGTCCTCGAGGGATGATGCGGTGACATAACTCGGTGCATCCTCTCGTCACCCCCTATGATAATCCCGAGATGATCCGCGCAGCGCTTCGAGAACGTCGCGCTTCGATTGTCGCGTCGATACGCGTCGGTGAGTGAGCAAATCAAACGGACAAATTGTTATTGTAACTGCGTTTAACGTCGTTGTAAGGAGATGAGGAAGAAGAAGAAGCGCAGCGAGTGCACCGCGAAAGAAGGGTTCAGTCGTGGCGCGAGATCGCGCGAGAAGTCACACCGAGCGAGCTCCGCGATGATCGAGCTGCTGCTGCTGCTGCTGCTGCTGCTGCTGCTGCTACCCGCGACTTTCCTCCTCTCCGTTCCCCCGCGAGCGTGGAGGAGAGGTGTTGTACGATTAAACGAATTGTGCGATTGAATTTAAACTGTATTAAATCTGTGGTACGGCGTTTCGATGCATTGTGTCGATCGTAGAATCGATTAAATAAATTGATATCGTGTAAGGTAATGTGCCGGCTGGATTCACTGGATCACGATCCCTGCATTGAGAGAAAAAGTTTTGCTAATTTAACTTACTCCCAATACCCGCAACAAATTATTCATTGATATGGGACAGCGAATGATTTCGCGAGGGAAATAAATGATGATTACTTTCAATTTGCTGCTTTAAGCAACTTCTGCCATAGAGAGAGATGTAACTAACTTGGTCTAAGCAAACAAAAACAGTTCAAACTAAAAACAGATCTCAAATGTAGCTTGTATATCAGGTAATGTGTGTTTGGTAAAATGACAAATGATGAGAGATGATTTTTAACGGTAACTGTTCGATCTGTTTTCCTAACAATCATCAAACAGCAAGCGTGCCCTCGTTCTGATAACTGAAGGATTTTTCTCAGTATGAGACGCTCGACGTGCGACTTGCATTCGCGGACGCTCATGGCCCTGGATCCAAGCAACACTTGCGAGCGACGCATTCGATACACGAAGACTTCTTCAGTACCCCGTAAGTTCCGAAAACGTGGAGTCCAGGTCGTCGCAGATGTACTTGTACTTCTCCTTTTCCTTTAACAGGTAATCTGAAAAGGAAATCACGGATTGATCAATCGATTCGCTTGCGTTGCACTTGCAAAAATCAGAATCTGCAAAAAATGCACGTGGGAAAGACGATTCTCACCTTCTCTCTTGTCTAATTCCTTCGCAAATATTTTGACAGTTTTCTCGGCGAATATGGCGCGTTTCTCGGCTACTTTCAGTTTTATCTTCAGTTCCTTCAATTGCGTCTTGAACTCCTCTACCCTCTGATTGGCCTGCGACATAGTTCAAACGTTCTTTGCATTGATTTATTATATATTATGATTTATTATATATATAATTATGGGAATGCGGAAAGAATGATCTCAAAATCCACGGAACTGTCTCTTACCTTCTCCTCGGACACCTCCAAAGACTTCAAGATATTCCCGACGATGAATAACTCGTCCTCCCGTTCGATAATTTTCCTGAGACACAGACGATCGCGTGTGTTAATTACGTGGTGGCTTCGAATGGTTTCGAAGCATCTACTACAGTGCAAACATGTCAAGTTTTAAGAACATTCAGCGCTACGGAAAAACTTGCTTGCAAGTGTGCGGGGCCTCTGAAAAGTTCCCGACACAAACTGAGAATAGACGAGGCAGGATTCAGCAGAGAAGAACGCAGCCGCTCTATTTCGAGAATCGCGCGCGATACGTACGCCTCGCTCGATTTAACCCTTTCCTCCGCCGCCTCGAGCTCGTCCTCGACGAATGCCAATTTTCTCGATATCTCGTCCGACTTGGTGTCCGCGTCCTCGGCGATGAGCCTCGCCTCCTTCAACTGCGCTGTCAATTGGTCCATCCGCTCCTCGTCCTGCTTGCTCCTATTCTCCAGGACTTTGCAGATGCTGAGTAACAAGAATCTCGCTTTACGTTTATGGCACTCGTAACTTCCCCCACGGTGATAGTGACGCGATGTCACGAGTCAGCGAAAACGTAATCTCCGTAACTCTAAAACTTTCGCGTGGCGTAGGTGCCGCTGTAATATTTACTGCGATAGCTACGTAATGAGATGAAAGCCCATGTAATAGTTAAGTGAACGCGAGGAGCTTGCAAGAAATATGATGAAAAAGAGTCTCGTGTCGCGTAGAAGCGTGAAGTCATTACCGTTTCGCGTCTTCCGCGGTTTCCATGGCTTGCGCGAGCTTTGCTTGAGCAGACAAACGTCGCTCCTCAGATTTTTCCAGATTCTGCATGGACTGCTGCATCTTTCTGTTCAGCACCGCCAGCTCCGACTGCGTCTGCAATTCCGTATTGGGAGCATCCTTAAGTAATCAAGCATTTGCAGGACTTGTTCTTATCTGATATTTTCTGATATATTTCAGACTTATATCTATTAGTTTCTACTTGAGCTGTACAGTGTAGAAACAATATTTTCCTATCGTGCTACTTGGGTAAGGTATTCAACTTATTGTGTCATTAATTATGAAATAAAAGCTTGGTCTGCGGATTTTTAATTATGTTTCATTTTGAAATACTTGACTACTGGTAGACACTCCTGACACAATCGGCACAAGAGAGAAGAATACTAATAATTAGTTGGAATAATTAGTCCGAGGATACGAGGAATGCATTTTTCCAAACTCACTGACCACGATATAGACTCTCTCCTTTATCTCGAGGTCCCTGTTCGACTTAATTAGCTGGGCTTTGCTGACTTCCAGGTCGTGCTCCATTTGCACCAGCTTCTTCGCCAATTCACACACCTCATCCTTCAGCTTCTCCTCCCGACGATTCGCCTCCTTCGCTTGCTGATCACACAAGTCGGCCTTGTCCATCGCAAGATCTTTCTCGAGCTTTAACGTCTGTAGCCGCTTCTTGATGGCGTTCATAGTCGCTTAGCTAGGAGCTGATCGGAAATATTATTCTCCTACGGACTAGTCGCGATGATGATTAATTGAATGGAATTTCCAACAACGTGTCAGCTTCTTCTGCGCGTGTGTTTTTGATGTTAAACCGAATTATTTCGTCAATTTAGTCGTGGAGTCGTCAAAGTCGAATTTTCAGCACAGTTGCTTCTTCGATAGCAATAATTTTATCTCTGCTTTCAGTTTTTTATCGAGCTTAAATTCAGTCGAGAATGTTTTGAGTCGATGCACGTGCAACACTTTCACTTGAGAATTTCTCTCTTCGTTCTATACAAAAAGAAAGAGAGAGAGGGAGAAGAAATAAAGATTTCCGACTTGAATTCACAGTGAAAATTTGTAATTGCGTAGAAGCAATTGAGTAGAAGCGAACGAAGTATCAAATGCAATGCTCGTGGGTTACTGTACCCGATGACCGATGAGAACAATGCTTTATAGGCTCGGCGAAATGCAAAAGAACCAAACCGTGCGTCGCTTTAGTTAGACTCAAACGAATTCTCGGGCTTCTTAAAACGCCAATGTGCTTTATTGTACCACTAGTAATTGCCGATCGTACATACATTGATCGGCTGAACATTAGTCCGGTCTGCCGATTCTTTCGAAGACTATCGACATCTTAAAATATATTCACTTTATATGTGTATGTGTGTATGTGCATAATCGTGAAATAACACACATAATGTAACATATAACACATACACACATAATATAATATATAATAAAAATAATAAGAATCGCCTTTCTTTATTTTTATTTATTGAGAAGATTAAACGACACCTGATTGACATTAATTTTTTAGTTAATATGTCTAAGTCAGTCAATCTTCCTAAAAAAGGATGATGAGAATTCTTGAATATGCAACTGAACAAATTACAAAAGAAAGTCATCACAGGTGACCTCATTGCGTAAGAAGAAATATCAATAATTATTTACTTCACTCGGAGCAATATTTAATAGTACAGAATTCTTTGATCTTATTTTACCGTTAAAGGTCTTATATAGAACACAGGAAATTCCTGATCTCGAAACGAAAGTTCGACTCTACTGTTCTTCTCTCGTTACTCGTATTTATTTATTACTCAACTTCGAATATTTTTTGTCGACGAGTCTGTCGGCAGCGCGACTTGGGTAGAATGGCGGAATAAAAAATCACGGGGGAGAGTTCGTGTGTGGTGTCGTTTATTGAAAATACAGATGTCACATAGAACGATAAGAAGATCGCGCGATGTCGTGGCGACGTCGTTCGCGCGCAGCGGACGATAGCGTCCCTCCGAGGCCTCTGAAAGAAAAGAGAAACAGACGAAATCGTCAGTGTTCGATCGACCAGGAGTGATCACCACGAGCGACCATGAACCAGTTATGCCACACTGGCCCGCCGCTCTTGGCAAGGTGTTGAACGAAGCGAGGCGGTTATAGCAAACGAACGCGGTGCACATGGCGCGCCTTGTCCGTCAGTCGCGTTTTTGCGCGGCCCGCGCGAAGCGGGTTATTTCTACTGCCGCTTATGGCACTTCGCGGCGAACGAATAGTGGCAGAGCACAGCAGCCTAAGCGCGTATAGATACAGATAGCGAATAAGCGGAGAGAAGCGAGGAGGAGAGCGGCGAGGAATCAAGCCGAGGAATCCGTATCCTGAGACTCTAATATCCTGTCATTTCGGCGAACGTCGCGTCCATGTCGTCGCAGACCGCCTTGTACTTCTCCTTCTCTTCTCTGAGCTCGTCTGAAAATAAAGATTCACATCAATGTGTGTTGCACAATCATTTTTCTCTTTGGGATTAACTTGATAAATAAGAATAAAAGACAAGACAAGACTTTCTTCTTCATTGTGTATCTCAAGTTTGGTTTAGTAACACTCTTTGCTGCCGTCCTTATCCTTCATATACCTTCTTAATATGTATTATATCGATATTTTCTCTTTTGTATGCAATGGAGTACAACAGAAATAGAAATAGATACATATCTTACCTTCCTTCATGTCCACCTCCTTCAGCAACGCTTTCACTGTTCTCTCTGCCGTGATCGCGCGTTTCTCCGCCTCCTTCAGCTTCTTTTTCAGGCATTTCAACTGAACCTTGAAATCTTCCACTCGTTGATTCGCCTGAAATCAAGTCGATCGCTGCGTGACCAGGCCGTGAAATAGACGGCGATGTAATCGTGAAGAACGTTCATGTTTTGCCATTACCTTCTCCTCGGACACCTCGAGAGACTTGACGATGTTCTGCACGATGAAGAGCTCGTCCTCGCGCTCCACGATTTTACTGCGAAGAGACATATCTTTTTCAGAGTGAGACAGCCTGTCGTTACGCGAATTGCGAACCGAAGTCGTATACGTACGCCTCGCTGGTCTTCACTCGCTCCTCCGCGGCCTCCAACTCCTCCTCGACGAACTGCAGCTTTCTGGAGATCTCGTCGGACTTGGAGTCGGCGTCCTCAGCGATCAGTCTCGCGTCCTTCAGCTCCGACATGAGCTTCTCCATACGTTCCTCGTCCAGGCGACTTCTGTCCGCCAGGACATTACACATTCTACAACGTAACAGAATGCACGATACAGATTTTCTGCGATATGTATCATTTGTACATATCGTTTTCATTCTCGCGATATTAACGCTATTAATTCATGAACCTTTGCGCGTCGTCCGCGAGTTCAGTCGCGCGTGCCAGCTTTTGTTGCGCGGAGAGACGCAGTTCCTCTTTTTTGTGTAGACTCGCCTCGATCTCCTGCACCCTCTTCGTCAGAACGGTCCGATCTTGTTCTGCCTGTTAGTGTATGACGCAAGTAAGAGTATAGTTCGATTTGCTCGTTTTACATAAAATTTAACACAGTCCAATGCAACGATAGTCAACGATTTCAACCCTCAGTACATCATCAGGATTTATAACTCCCATAATTTTTTAATATTCAAGCTCTCTTCTCAAGTAGTTTAAATTATTTATGAAGGTTAATATTCCATGATTTTTACTCGTTCTTAGAAATCTTACAAAGAACAAAAAAGAATCTAACTTCTTAAATGGAATATATTAATATTAATCCTAAAATTCATATCGTGTTAATAAAATTAATCTTCCAAATCAATGAGAATCATCGTTACGCACTCTAGACCAAGACTTTTCACATTGCTCTAGATCGGCGGTGGATTGCTCCAATTGTGCCTTGGTGATAGTGTAATCGCGCTCCAACTGGGCCAACCGCTTCTGCAGGTCGCTGAGATCATCGTTGAGCCTGTCGGCTCTTACGTTCTCCTGCTTCGCTTTCGTCTCGTTCACTTCGACCTTCTCGTTCGCGGCGTCCATCTCCAACTTCAACGCCGCGATTTTCTTCTTGATCGCCTCCATCGTGACACGCGGCTTGCAATCTTCCTTTATCGACTATCTCTTGGCCCGTCTCAAAAAACTGCAAGACGATTTCAGACAATAAAACGTCAAAGGGCAGAAAACGCAACCCGAGAACTACCACAAGTTTGAAAATAGAACTCGACGTCCTCGTCAATTCAAGGCCTACGATAAACGTTTCTTTTGGAAGGGGAAAACTATTAAATTAAAAATGATTATTTCTTTCTGTGTATTTTAAATATAAAAACGAGAAGGAGGACGCCGAGTGGCGCAATCGAGATGTGCGAGAAACTATGGCACTACTCTCTCACCGCCCCGAGGTCACAGCCCATTCATCAGCGCCCAGCGATATTTTATCGCCACCCCCGTTGATCTCGCGCACGCACACCTCGTCGGTCTCGCGTTGCGCTCGCGAGGACGCCCAAGGAGCCGGCCGAGCTTCCACTTTTCTCGCGATTAATCTCGCGCGCGAGCGCTGGTGCCGGGCGAGAAGCGAAATTCCTACTAAAGGGGGACAAACACTCACTGCGATCGCGGCGATGATCCGCGGGGAGAATGCCACGACCGGATGCCTTCGACAGCTCAGCTAAAATAAAACGAAACCGGTCACCGCCGGTGCCGAGCCGCCACCTCCTCTCTCGGACTCCCCGATCATCCAATCCAATTCTATAATTGTTTGGAGACTTTGGCCGTCGGCCCGGATTCACCCTCCGGGCCCTCCGTCGCCATGGGCTGCCTACGAAACGCGATATCCGCTCGTCCCCGTGCTATTCTCGGCCCCCCCTTGAGAAGAATCCCGTTCCTGTTTCCCGACGACCACGTAACCGACTCCTCCTCGTTGTTGTAAACAGCAGCCGGATCAGCCCTTGCATCAGGCGCAATCAGCATCGCCGATGAGGCTCTGTGATGCCGATCAGGGTCGGACTGGACCTTTGAATCGTCCCATTAGCTAATTGCTTGTCAAGCGAGCCGATTGTCATCGAATACGCGAGCTTCCGACGAGACGATAGCGATTGATAAAAGCTCAAAAGAGCTAGGGGTTAGAGCCTGAAAGTTAAAACTTACTAATGAAATTAAATTAAATACAGAATTTAACGATGAAAGGAACTCCGTAAAGTCTCCGAGGAGTTGCCAGTTCACTGTCTGGATCCTTATGATTGAGGATCTATCATGAGATCGACGATCAGTAGAACCATATTCGTGAGTTCTAGATACAACGGGATTATAAACTGTAATTTAAACTAAGAGAATGAATAAGACGATTAAATCTAGCGAAAGATATATTTAATCGTTTTACCAGTTAATTTCTTTTCTTTACAACAGTCTGTCAGAAATTGTGTAACACATAACTTGTCGGTGTAAGCTACTATGGGATGATGCGCGTGACGAGATAGAAAGACAGTAGAGAGGCTACGCGAGTGAAAGATTCTACGGATGTTTCGATACGAATGATTTCACTATTAATCGTAAACACTTCTTAAACTGTTAGACACACGTACGGTGTGAGATCGTTTCGCGATCAATTTGCGAGTACAGATTCGCAAACAGACTTTCGTAGTTGCCAACGATCGGAGTAACGTCGTTTAATTGTTTCGGGTGTCTCAGAAGGATCGAATTCCTATTTGACAATAAGAAGTATAGCTCATCTTCAAGTATCATATATACCGTGGTAATTTTTTTTTTCTTCGAACATGGCACACAGTAAAGACGTCGAGTAGATTACAATTCGGTAGAAATACGCATTTTTTTTTGCCACACCATCGTGCGAACACACAGACGATATATTCCAAAGTAACAGACTGTGCGGATGATCGTTTCGTTCTCCATGCGCATACGCATGTCTCACGACGAGTACCTTCGGTACTAAAAAAAAAAAAAAAGCGGTGCATATTGACATAGAGTTTTGGCAAAGATGTAATATATGTATATATGCATATCAAGAAAAGCACTCGAAACAATATATCGATATCAAATACGATTATATCGCATCGTAATGTGTAAATGCATCACTTTCCCTGGCACAACAGCTTCGTAATAACGAGGAGAAACGCAAACTGCGTAACAAACAGTACAATACTGTCGCGCGGATAATGCGCGACGTTGACCACTAACGCAACGATCAAGTAAAAAAGAAAGACAAACGAGCGTTAAGTAACGCGGAAACCCGTAATACGATCGGCACCGTGTACATGCCATTCCCAAATCGAGAATGATTATGAATCTTACACGATTTTCAAACTTATACATGCACCTTACATAGGCGTAAAGTTGAAATCGCTCTAATATAATAGTCGTTATAATCCTTACTATTATAATTAAAGTTACTTATGCAATATTCAACTTTAAGTATAAGGCAGAAAATCATATAATTCTCGCTTCAGGGAATGGTATGGCATAGATGACGCTGATTACATATACAATAACCAACAATCGAGAAGCGTCAACGAAAGATATCAATTTTTCGCTCGCTGTAATTAATCGAACATAATATACGGGTATATACTTGAACAAATACCTTGCGGGCTAATAAGTACAATATAAAAGAGAAATTAGAAGAACGAGAAAGCACGAAACGAAAGAAGTCACAGGCTTCTTCTATGTCGCTCAAGTCCTAAGTGCAGCGCGATCAATCGCTAAAGTTAAATTACGTATCACGATATACATATACTTAAATTAACGTACGGCTTTTCATTGGGCGGAAATAGAGACAATGCTATGAATTCATTAAAGACGCGCGTACGCATATAGGCGCACGACATCGGGAGAAACCTAAAAGGTGCTAATGCGCCACTGATAGGAGCAGCATCGTCATCTGGAGAGATTAGACCCTGTCTCGGAGTCAACAGACATTAATAGCACGTAAGTTGGTGTGTACGTGAGCAACAGGTGCACGGCATCCTCGCGGTCGAGCGCCCGCAATTGTTGCACCAGCGAGCCGACGGTGCACTCTGCACCCGCACAATTCAGCAATCTGCGAAAACAAAAAGGTAAAAAGTGATGAATCGCAACTCGTACTCACGCCACGAATATCTCGAGAAGATTATGATCTTTTACCTCAACGTCGGGCTATCCACTGTACTATCCAATTGGGCAACACGATCGCCCAAGCCGAGTCTCACAGCAAGCAGACACCAATCTCTCCCGTGGTGATCAGGTGGGTCCAGCATCTGCGCGAGTCGCCTCTGCACGGCGGGTTTTATGTACTTGACCGGTTGCTTTGGACCTGGCACACAATTTTCCATCAACGGTAGTCCACAGCTCACTATCTCCCACACGGTCTCCTGTCGATCGTTCAAAGGGTTCTTAAGGGTCGCTTCCTCGAGGCCTTTGTCGATTAAAGCTGATATAACAGTGGCGGGCGTCCAAGAATGAATCACCTGGAAGTGCGTGCGATAAAATAGACACGTAATGGATGTTCTGTCCCATCGATTTTGCACGGTGCAGAAATATATATGTACAACACGCATTCCACCTCACCTCCTCGTACTCTCGAAGCTGACTGGGACTCAGCCAATGCCTCTCGAGCAACATCCCGGGCGCGACCAATTCGATGGTGGTGTCTATCGCGTCTAAGATCACGCTGAAGAGAGCGAAGCACTGCGTACTGGAACCGCGCGGCCCGCGGACTTGGATCTCCATGCAGCTGTGCTCCTCTTCCTCGAAAGTGATTATGCTCTCGCATGGTCCGACGCAGAGCTTCGATCCTCGCCACCATTGATACAGGTCGGAGTTGGACGGATCCCATGTTTGAGTGATCTTTCTCAGTTGCGCCTACGCGTGTGATTCGAGGTATTTTAACTTCTCTTCTACGTCACGTTTATTTATTATTAAGAGCATCGATTACCTGCAAGTGCGTAAATATCGCGGTCAAGTGATACAAAGGCGCTTCCTCCGGACAAAGGCGTAAGCCAGCGTGAGGTAACGCGTTGGAGCACGGTTTCCACGGCTCCCACAGGCCGGGCAGACGCTCCACCAGGTTCAGACATGGTATCTCGTACTCCACCTCATCGTCGTCTACCTCACACTGAAACGGCAAACAGCCATGCACGCGTGTAACAATGATTAATCATCCGGCCGGATTTTTTAGAACGTACCGGCACGCATAGATTGACCGCTTGCAAGGCTTGTAGTGCTTGGGCGGCAGGACAAGGGCATCGCGCTTGGAAATCTTCCAATGTGTAAACACCGGTGGTTCGGCCGCCCAGCCGTCCTCTCTGATCGGGACTCAGCTGCCAATTCAGCACGTCCTGCCAGAACCACTCGGGACTAAGTACTATCAGGTTACCCGGCAATAAAATGCATTCTCCCAAATTCTGCAACATGATTTCATAAAGTTACCTTGGAGAAAAGAGAAAGAAAAACGTTAGTCGTATCATACATTCTATCAGAGTTACAAGTCGCGAACCTGTAACTGCAGCCCGAGATGTCTGCAGTGCTCCAAACAGACCAAAGGATTGATCTTTCGGATTTCATTGAGAAATTCGTCCTGCGTGAGCATCAACGGCGGTATCTCCAACGATTGCACATACGTCCTCCATGCCTCAGCGAGACCGGTCCACACTAAGGCGCTCTATAATACGCGATTAAAATCCATAGTAACAGAATGATAGATTAACAAGTTATCACATTGATGCAGAAAATATATACAAGAGAGAGAGAGAAAGAAAGAGATATATAGTCTTTCTTTTTTGTTCTTTCTTTAAGTCTGACAATATATATATGTATAATATTTATATATATATAGTGCATGTATGTATATATGGGAGAAAGCATTAGTGCAACTATTGAACCAAAGTACAGTTTCGTTATACACATCACTCTTATTAAAGGAATTGAGAGAAGTATTTCGACCTGTTTATCAAGATTCGCCAGGGGCACGTACGTAGCCGCAGCACGCGGCGCGTCACGTCGGAGAATACTTTCTGCAACTTCCGGTCCATCCTACATCATGCATTGCATGCATTAAGGCTGATGTTAATAAACATTAATGGCCAAATAATCAGCAACTAAAACATATGTTCTTAATAATTCGATTCGGTGTGGTTATACATGTGTATATATATATATATATGATGTACACATACATATACATATACATATATATGACATGATATCGGACACGTTGAAAAGGTGTGCTCAATCAAACATTGCAAATGATTGAATGTCGCAAGAGAGTTATGAGACATACAAAGGTACTCTCGATGCTTTTATAGTTCTTTGTACATATATCAAATCAACCATGCATCATGGATGACTAGAGGAAAATCGTATAAGTGAGTAGAGAAATCGTCGCATTGTCTCCGGCGGTGTAGGAGTCAATGCTCGGATCCGACAGCGTGTCGGCGCTGCAAGATCCCAGATCGATGAGTGAATTATACAGATAATAGCGTAATGAGGTAGAGTTCATCACTGACCAGAACCGTTTCACCGACGGGGAAAGATACGGAAACGCGCACATTTATCGCATGCTGTACAGATTATAGTTCCCTGCGGAAACGTGGTTATTTACATTCGTCGTTGGTTAGTTAGCCGTGCGTATCGACCGGTTGTATCAATGATCGAACGGTTCTGCTCGTATATATATTTAGTATCAAGCATACTGATATCATGCATTTACTGATATATCTTGGAGTGGATTAAAGATATATATGTAGTATCCGATGGTGAAAATATAATCTTAAGACTAGAAGAGATTACAGATTCTCGTCGGGGAAAGGGAGACTCTCGGATCGAGCATCCGGGATCGAGCGGAAAAAAAATTTTCAGCCGCTGCTCGGTTAAAGTTAGGACGACGAGAAAACGGTATCTCTTCTAATATTATAGATACGGTATAGTAAATAATATTTGTATTTGTACAGAGAATATAATCGCTTCACCTCGAGAAATTCCATCCTCGCGTTATTTAAGTACGATCTGAGGAGTTTGAGGCCGGGACTAGAGGGATTAGTCGCGTCCAGTGCTACCATTTGAGGCTCCTCCCCGAGAATCGACGTAAAGTCTTTCAGAAATGGCAAGAGCGGTGCGAGTAGATTGCCACCGTTCGAATTCGGGGCTAAAGGTTCCGGCGCATAAGTACCGACTAAAATTACTTTTACGTCGCTGCACTTGCCGCCAAATCCTTCAATGAGAGAAGCATTTTCAACAAATCAGACTTGTTCCTGGCATGTTTCCCCGGTGTATAAATAAATCACGCACAAAGTAAGTTACAAAACACACAGACACAGAAATATATAGGACTCATATTCTTGCTGGATCCCTTACCGACGTTACTCGGATTGATACGATCCAAGATGAATTGCAGCCAGAATTTGATCTGCTGAAGTTGAACGGTGAGCGGTTCTCTCAGACTGACTGTGATAAGATGCACCGCCGGTTGCTGAAATGTGAGCACGTAGTGGTAAGACGCCAGGAATTCCTCACGTCCGCACAATTCCCAGAAGACACACTCGCCACCTGCTCACCAAACATATCCATGAAAATGCCGTCAATTGTATATGTTTCACATATACATAAATATTCTTAAATATTATATATTAAATATAAACATATATGTGTGTACACCTCGTAAAAATAACGTGGCACACTACATTACCGCAAATCCACTCATCTATTAAACTAAGTATAATTCAAGTACAATTCGCTCACCTACATTACCGCGACTCCACTCTACTCCCTGTGTACCTTCATACTCACTATCGCTGTACTCGAAACTGAGAGAACCGTGCTTACTCGTCACATCCAATTCAATACTTGGTTCTCTCTATAAGAGAAAAAAATGAAGATAAAAAGAGTAATCCACGTCGATTACTTTTATTACTTGTAAGCCCGTCACCTCATATTTCAATTATCGTATAACGTACCTTGGCGCTGCAGTTTTGACTTCTCGACCTTCGGAAGAAGCCGAAACTGAATATTCCAGACTTTAGGGAACTGATTAATGACGATTTCCCGGAGGCGCAGTGTCCGAGCAGTCGTATATGCAGCCGATCTATCGGTCTGTGCGTCGGCTGCAGCTGACGAATGTAATTTTCACGCTGATTCGGCTGAAAGCGGATTAAATCGTGAGTCGACTTTCGCAACCATTTTTTCAAACATAGCGAATATTGTGGGTATTATAAACAGATAGAGAGAGAGAGAGAGAGAGAGAGAGAGAGAGAGAGAGAGAGAGAAAGACTTACGTTTCGCAACTTATCCAATAAGTTGGCGATATCCGGATATCCATACTTAATCGCGGTGACGTCCGCCCTGATCCCACGATTCGATTTATCGACGTCGCAACCAGCAAGGCACAAGTGTCTAACCAGATTAATATGCCCGTGTCGAGCGGCCACGTGTAACGCCGTGAGACCTTGTTTGTTCGGCGTGTCCAGATCAATTCCGCTCTCTATCAGTAGAGTCGTCATACCCTCGTCACCAGTCTCACAGGCGATATGCAAAAGAGTGTCTTCTTTCTGAAAAGAAACGCGTTATCATTTTATGCGTGAAATATGTATATGTGTGTGTATTCTCGATATGCGGTACATCGGCAAAATGAATAAAAGATGCCTCACAGAGTCTTTCACATTTAATGGAGCACCCTGCAACAATAACTGAGAGACAGCCTCAACACAGCCTCGCTTCACAGCACTGATCATCGCTCCACCGAGACCCTGAGGAGCTTCAGATTCCTGTGCACAAAAACAGAACAAAACATTGAGATCGTGGTCGACACACCGATAACGAAGCGCTAGTGAATTTCTTCAGCAAACTATGAACGGTGACGATTTCATTGTCGCTTTTCGATGCGTACAGAACGTGCGCTATAAAAAGTCAAAAGAAAATATTGCCATCTAATAGCTCCGGTAACCAAGGTGCGCGTATATAATAAAGAAAAATGTATATACTGTTGACTTAATAATATGTATATTGTATATAAAAAATAATTTGTATATATAACAACGTATATATACGACATAACTGTACAACAGGTAATAAAGTCAGATCGGGGCGGGAGTTGTTTAAAAGGAAACGCACAAAGTCAATACAGGGTATTCGAAACAAACAAATGTACATTGAACCGCAACGTATGTATGTGTATGTTTGTGTGTGCCTGCGTGTGCGTGCAAGTATTATCGATTAACGCGGATCGTTGTTTTCAGGAACACACCGTGAGAATCCAAGGATGTTTAAGGCACGATTCAGCATTCCCTCTCTCCCTGAAACGAAAGAAATGACTTTTTTTCTTTCTTTCATATCGGTTTACGCGAACGCTAATAAAGACTCTACGAATGAGTCTTGTGGCTTTCTCGCAAACTTACTTCGGATCCTTGATCAACAAGGAACGTATGAAGTCTTTGGCAATCTCAGACACGTTATTGAAGTATTCATTGTCAAATTGGTATTGGCATGCAGCGACGTTCGCGTAAGTCTCTTGCTTGTCCTCGCCCAAGAACGGTGAAGCACCGCTCAAGAGAATGTATGTCAACACACCGACTGCCCAAAGATCGGTGCCCAAACTGAGGGGCTCATAATTCACAATTTCTGGCGCTACGAACTCCGGTGTGCCGAATAACGCTCTGTGCTCGGAACCGGGTACCAGCCGATGAGATAAACCCAAGTCTGTGAAAGCAATCTGTACTGTGTTGACGATCATGGAGACACGGAGACTTTAAACGAATGGCACATAGAAAAATGTAAGCAGTAAAATCTTGACAGAATAAGTAAATTGAGCAACCACAGCCGATGATTTTCTTCTTACGGTTCAAGAACAATCAATTTGTCGATTGGTCAATTTTCTTACCGTTTGAATCTCACTGCTTACGTTTTTCTGTGTGCCGTCCGCTCTAACATTACCTATCAGCTTGATGCTAGGCATCGGCGGTGGCGTCGATAATAGGATATTTTCAGGTTTAATATCCAGATGAGCAACTTGATGGGAGTGTAAGTGACTAAGTGCCATTAAAACTTGACGCACCTTGGGGAAAAGACGTCGGATAGAGATTACTCGGCACGTTTAATCGGCTCGCGAATGCGTTCACATACCACATGCGCGGCCTCCGCTTCACCGGACGGAGTCCAATGGAACAGTTCACCTCCGGAAATCAATTCCAAGAGCAGCACCACTGTCGTTCCAGTGTCTATCACCTTGTACAAGGAGACAATATTAGGATGCCTCAGCCGAGCTAAAAGACCGGCTTCCCTTGCTGAAAGAATGAAGTTGATTCTGTTAAATACAGAGGCTGTTCCGTAACTTATAATAACAGTGTTGTTGACGTTATGCAACTTTTCTACTACACAGACTCTTTTTTTACATGGGTAAAATCTTCAAAACACGTCCCTAACCTCTGGGAAGTCTAGGGTGGAATTTTTGTTTCACACAGTCTCCCATATGTCATGCACATGCAAATTAGGTCAAACTGAACACAAAATCTATCATTTTACAAATAACCACATAGATTTCAGTCATTAAAGAACACTGGTACATTATCGCGCATGACTATTCATTAATCTTTTTTAATGAATAACTAAAAAATCTATGTGATTATTTGAAAAATGATAGAGAACTTTTTTTATTTTGTTTGATTCAATCTACAAGATATGGAACACTTTGGGTCAGATATCCTATATATTATAACTGCGCAATAACAATATAACAACACTGTCAAAAATTACAGAGTAGGCTCCATAATATCCTGGGGATAAAACTATCTTGAATAATATATCACAATATAGAAATAAAAATATTACCAATATCTGCAGCAGCTACACCTCTGGCAACCCGTCTTTTCCTCATAATTTTTGCGGCATACAATGCCCCAGTTTTTATTTCCTTGCATTTTCGTACAATAGCAAATTGACCCCTGATTTATAAAAAATTTATAAACATTTTTTATCAGATTTAAATAATATTATAAAGAAAGAATTGTGGATAAGAGTACTCACTTTCCAATTTCTTCAAGCAGCTGATAGTTTTTTTCAATCGGCTCATGCTGGACCTCCATTAAAGTATCCCACTCACAATCTACATATAAGCAATAAACATAAAACCACTATATTTTTTAAATCAAAACTTAATATGTACTACAATATGCAAATTAAAAAAAGTTCAATTAAATATGGAATTGCAGCAATGCAATGTTTTGCAAATTAAATATTTTCTCTCTCTCTCTCTCTCTCTCTCTCTCTCTCTCTCTCTCTCTTTACTATCTATATAAATTATACTTCTAAAAATAAATATAAAGAGATACATATATTAATACTAATTTATCATATCATGTTCTATATTTCTTGAATAATAAAATTTAAACGCGCGGAAATACACACACACACACATACATGCTAGGTCATTCATTAAAATAAATAAAAAATCCGTTGAATGGTCCTCGAAATTGGGGCAAATAAAACGACAGAAAAATGACATCCTGTCAAAATTAGTTTATAACAATAAAAATGTAGAAGCGTACGAGAAAGAGTATAGAGACAATCGTCGAACTACCAAACAGTTCTCGCGATTCGCGACAATTAAGCTCCGCAATCCCTGATATTATCCCCTTAAAGTGAAGGGTTGTCGAATCGCCCGTTTGACAAAATTCGACACGACGTTTCCGAGATAAGCAGAAGGTACAGAAGGTAAACCAATTTCTACTACCGTTCAGTGTTTCCAGCTGGCGAGAAGTGCCCGGCATCATCTCCCGGTCGTGCTCATCGTTCGATCTATCCGAACAGTTTTGAGCCTTGCGAAGAGCCGTTACGAAAATTATGTGGCATCCGACGGCCTTCACCCATGCCGGCCGCCCCACACACACAATCGATATGCCTGTATCGCGCGGAACGCCATCTTACACTACGCACTACAGGTTTGTTCTTTTCAGCCGAACTTCCTGCACTATGCATAGGACGTGCATCAAAGCGTTTCTTTTAGCGAAAATGACGTCACAGCCGCGCTATTCTTTCTCGAAGTGCAATGATACGCGGATAATGACAGCCCCGTAGAAATAACAGGTCTAATTGTTGTGAAGGGTGCTTAGTTGGTTAGACCCGTTATGTTTATTCGTTCAAGAGCCACCACTACGAGACGCCACTTTCCTTAATGGAGAATCGAGGACGTAGTACGATTCAAAAGTGGCCAGCCGGATTTTAACAAAATTTAACAATAAAAGCTACAATCACTTTCTATTGCCACAATGTACTCGAATATTCAACATATTCAAATTGACATAATTGTCAAGGAGACGGGCTTCCTCACCAATTTGCTTGAAACAATTTGCTCGGAATATTATGTATTTTAATATGCAAAACACAAATATGAAAGTTAAAATCGTCGGTCTTGCGTAAAACAAAAATTATAAAATGATAAAAAGTGATTGTTGTGAATTTAGAAAATTTGTCATACCGATAGTGTGGATATTTTAAGTTTCGCGCACTTTTACGTCACTGCGCATGCTTAAATCACGGACTTGAAGGACAGTACATAAGCTTAATTTGTAGGCATATAAGGCCGGTTCTACATTAACTGTAAATCGCAAGGTAATTAAAATATTGCGAGAGAGAAAGAAGGAATATTCTCTCTTTTGCGAGCACGTTGTATGTTAAAATTTGATTACTTATACAACATTGTATCAATATTAATCGTATTATGATTCTTGTTACGTCCTTTGAAACATTTACCAACAAATATGTCATTACATTTTTGAACGTTATAAGAATATATTATAAATATATATTATAAATATAATTATACTTTCCTCAATTTATTTTGATTAATAATAATTTTTCACTGAATTTTTCTAAATTTGTACTGAAATATTACTGAAATATTACTGAAATATTAATGAAATCATAATGAAATTTTAATGAAATTGGGTCAAAATTGTGAATACTTTTCTAAAACATTTCAGCAAAAGTTAATTATATTTTCAATAAATTATTTCCATCAGATACAAGTATCTCAATTGAGATCTCAATTGAGATCTTACATGCGGATTTTTGCGGAAACCTCGATTGAGAATTCAATTGAGAATTCAACTGAGAATTCAATTGGGAATTTAATTGTGATCTTAATAGAAATTTTTCAGTAGAGTATGTCCTTGGCGCGGATTGCTTTGTAACATATGCGATCTCGATAGATCCGTTAAATGGAGAAATATTTGAGTCTCATTTAAATAAGCTTTTGAATTTTTATTGAAAAAGGACTGAATCTCGATTAAATAAATTTTATTAGTCCTATAGTTCTATAGTCTTTCATTCATTCACACGCATGTTTAGATTCACACATATGAATGTATGTATACACGCACGCAAGCATTCACGCATCCTTAGTAACACGGTTCATTGGAGGTAATATTGGCTACAAATTAGGCCTCGATATACTAAATATTAGCCCAATATTATAGACATTTTGCATTTTATAGCTAATATAAAATTCTTAATATAGATAATTCATCTATTACCAATATTGATTATATATTGAGTTATATTGACCCAATGTACCTCTAATACCCAAATAAAACAATCAAAATACTGTCAATTTGATGTCATTTTGACCAAATATTGACCAAATTTACGTCATTTTTTGGTGAAAATGACGTGAGATTTTAACTAGCCGTTCTACCTGGGTATATGCCAATATTGGTACAATCATGTTGTATAATATTGGAGATTTATTCACATTTTATTTATAACTAATATTTACTATATATTGGTTATATATTGGCTATATTAGCTAATATATGCCAATGTACTCAAACAGCACAGATCTTCACACGACATCTTAAAGACATTCTGAGAATATCCCTAGAACATCCTCTGAAGATCTTGTGCTGTCTAGAAAACCAATATTAAGCCAAAGTAACGCTAATGAATTGTGCTATTAGGGATTATACACACAAACTCTCTCTCTCTCTTCCTCTCCCAATAATATTAGACACTGGATTCGTAAACGACGATTTGCACAATCGGTTTTCTAGGCGGTGACGCTGTTGTGGACGCGGCGATGTCACGCAATACCGCCTCTACAGCTTCTTCCCAATCCTGATTCTTAGAGACATCTGGATCGATGGACGAGGTCCATTTCAAACGTGGCATAGATATAACTGTCAATACTTTCCTGAAAAAAAAAAATTTCCTTTATTATTCAGATAGCTCAAACTTCTAAAAAATGTCTTAAAGACGTTTAAAAAAGTATAACGTCTTCTAGAAGCTGTCTGTGTATTAATCCTCTTTCTGAAGAAGCTACCTCATTTTTTTAAATTCAATTATCCGTATGATCATGTCATATCATTTAACATAACTAAGGGCAACAATAACGTCGTCAAAATATACCTTAGATCAGAATGTAACGCGGACATGTCGCCACCTGCTTGTTCGCCGAGTTTCCTGAGAGTCTCGGCCAATGGACCTCTCAGTCTCTGTAGTCTCCTCCAGGATTGAGCGTATTGTCGTCTGACTAGTTCGATGATAGTACTGGTCAACGCCAGACCGACCAAGATGTACAAGGTACACAACAGAGTGTACTTGGGTTTCTCTGAACAAAGCCAACAGAGATTAGCATGAGATTAAGTTCTAAATTTAATGTTTTTTCGACTAAAGCTTTGGATCACTTCGGTCATTTAATCTGTCTCGTTCTGTCTATCCTAACTATTAATAAAGGAATTAATAACGTTCTCGAAGCGATCAAAATCTTCTCAAAACACTATAACAAAATTAAAATCAAAATTCTTCCAAGGAGAACAGAAAATTTGATGATATCAAAATGACATCAAAATGATAAAAAAAAAGATCGAATCGTGATCGAAAGTGAATTTTTTAGTCATTTCTTTATCATTTTGACATCATTTTGATGTCATCATAACTTTTTGTTCTGCCTAAGTCTATATCAGAATTTTAACAGGACATTCAATTGTATCTCTATTAGTTCTCTCAGGAGATGCAGAAGATCGTTGCTTACTCGGCACCAAGTCACCGAAACCTATGGTCGTCATCGTTACGAAGCAGAAGTAAAACCCGTCGAAGAAATCCCAGTCGTCCTCCCAAAGCATGAACATGCCAGCGCCGCAAGCGAGGTATAGGAAGAGCAATCCGATAGCGGCACAAGCACCTGTAAAAAGATCGTGGTCATTCAAAAAACTGCCGGGATCGACCGAGAAAAGCCAGTTCTTTTCCGAGTCAAACTCACCGAGCGATCGACGACCGGTCGCGTTTGACGGGACGCACACGAACTTCGCGCGAAATGGCAGTCTCGACTTCAACGTCAACGCAACATGCACCACAGCTCCGGCAAACAGCTTACCCAAGTCGGCGATCACGATCAGGGTGAGTGGTATGCCGATGAAGGCGAAGAGGATACAAAAGATCCTTCCCCAGTTGGTCGAAGGCACGACATTCCCGTATCCTGTCATGGAAGCGAATCGGAGAGTCATAGGTGCCTCCCACTTCCGACTCAGACATTTTTAGTAAGGGACAAACCTCTTTTTTGCTATTATATGGAAAGAACATTACCCATAACAGCATAACCCATACAGCACAAAATCTCCTGGGGACGTCCCAGAGATGTCTTGAGGATGTAGAAACGTCTCTAGGACGTTCTTAGGACGTACTTTGGACGTCTCTTGAATATCTGTGCTGTTAGGGAAGTGTCTAAGTCCCGTATTAATAGTTGTCAACTAAAATTTGCCTCATATGAGGTACTCAGATTTTTATTCAGAATTGGGCTCAAGTTTTTCAATTGAATTATATGATTTATACATTTATATCTCTAATCACGTTTAACTGAAAAAGCTCTCTTTGATTTCAAATTTGAGTATCTCACCTGAGACAAGTCTCGAAGTCTCCTGAGAATAGTCTCAGTGACTATTAATACAGACCTAAAAGACATCTTAGAGACGTTTGAAAGATATCCTATTTGTTTTAGACTTTAGGAAATCTTTAAGATATTTATGCTGTCTGAATGTCTTTTTTCCGCACTTAAAATTCTTTAGTTTTACCATATTTTCTAGTAGTGAAAACAGACTGTCAGTAGAATTTACATTGCTGAGATATATATAAGTTAATGCAGGAGATTAGTTGTGTTTGTCAAATAAAATAGAAGATAGAATTATTCAATTTTGAAAGATTAATAATTTTTTTCGAATAAAATGAACAACATCCATTCGGTACCCACTAAACATGCATGTCTAAAAAATGTCGAAAAGATATCTAAAAGATAAAATGTTGCATAAGATATCTTTTAGATATCTTTTCGATATCTTTTAGACATGCATGTTTACTGGGTATTTTTTTGAATATCTAACGAGGAGTTATTACTTTTCTTTTGATACTCAAATTTCTTACGAAAATAGAAAAATGACGAATCTTTTGCATCAATCTAATAGCAAATCTACCAGTGATCTAATAGTAAATTTTTTAATAGACTCCAATTTCCGAAATATGAATAGCACATATAGGACAAAAAAATAACATCCGAGGTATCGATAAATAAATAAATATTTACTAAATTATTTTTATCAATTTCTAGTTGAGCTATCTGATATATATACAGTATTACGATAGCATGTTATTTTTGTATGATATCCAATTTGCTACGTAATTAATTTAAAAATAAAGGAGCTTTTTTTTATAGATTCTCTAATGTGATTTATTCTAAATAATTGATTATTTTTGAGTACCCTAATAAATTAAGAAAGAAAGTTTCTCTCTCGATATGTTCCTCGATTTTACAAAATACTACAGTTTCTCCACTACAAAATTCTCCATGTAGACTTGGTCCTACCGATCGTGGTGAGGACAGTGCTGGCGAAGAAAACCGCTTGAAGCACACTCCACCGTTCGGTCGCGATGGGCGGCAGGTTCGAATCGGCGCGATCCTGATGATCAATTGTGTCCGCCACGAAACCGATCAGAAGACCCGCTTCCGCCGCCTCCTGGACTGCATCCTCGTAGTCGCGCAGGTTTACGCTTACCTGGAAAACGCGATTCGCCGTTATTGTTACTGACTGGGAACCGATAAGAGCGTACGACGAGGAAATCAAAGATCTCTCGCTCACCAAAGTACGTAGATTGGCGACGTCCGTATTATTGCAGACGGATTCCACGAAGCGATATCGTTGCGTGCGTAATTTCGCCCGCAAACGCTCGAGCCGTCCGAGCTCCGCCGGGAGTTCGATCTGCCGGAAAACCTGCGAATGCGTTCAAATATCGTTTTCACGTTGTGACTGATGAGAATTCTTCACTGAATGCTCCTGCCACTTGATAATACAAATTGACACAAGCGCATCATCCCATTTTTGTCGCTTATTAAGTATAAAACAAAGATAAAACGATGCTTGCGTCGACTTCTCTGACAATCCACTAAAAAACATCTGAGAGACGTTCAAAAGGTGTTCTATTTTTTTTGGACGTCTTTAAGACATATTTTAGTAATTAATAGTTTGCTGTCTGGATTTGTGTTTCCAAGTGGAAAGTATCCACTGTCGTCTCGCGTCACAAAAATTCGTCACGAAAATCGTCGAAGCACACGTGTCAGCGTCTTCTCTCACAACGTGATGATTGTGTCGAAATCGAGTCGCGTTAACGGTCGAAATTATCGGATCGATATCTCTAATTAAAAGCGTGCAAACGCCCTCGAACTTCGAGTGCTGCGTGCACTTCAGGCTAATGAGGAATAGCCACCGGTTATACGCGTGTTTGTTGAGCAAATGCATATCCCGCCGTACTGTTTGCAAAGGTCGTTGATGCTGTTTATTGGTGGCCGGTTATTGATAAACTTCCGGCGGTTATCAACGCGAAGCTATGAATTGGTTTTTTGCTTATTGAGCCGCGCAGCGTAGTGTAAAACATACGCAGTTCAATCGGTAATTTTGACGATCGCGGAGAGATTTGTTTATTGTTCTGTATATAGTAAGCGATATGTTTAAACGATTATTTCACATCAATTCGTCGCGATTCGAATTCGTTTTATTGCGCGTAAATTTGCTCGTTATCGCTAGAATGCCAATTATTTTCTCACATAAGAAACTCGTCGATGCGAATGGATCGCGGCCGCTGAAAAAAAGAGAGAGAAAGAGAGAAACAGAGAGAGAAAGAAGGAGAGAGAATGAAAGAGCGAAAGAGAGGGGTGAGACGATGCTTAAAACAGGCTATTTTTGAGGCTGTGGTATTTGTGTGTGGTTCGTGTGCTCAAAAAACCATAACCATCGTAAATTCAACTCGCGGTATTTTTACCAGACTTCATTGAAAGGCGTCCGGTGGTAATACACTTGCTACCAAACGGCTGAGCCGATTGGGCCGTCGCTAAAAATAAAGGTACGATTCAGTGGGCTACAAGTCCGTCGGTTATTGTATAGAATGTAAATATTTATGGAACATCGAATACATTTAACTCTGCACGCTGGAAACTTCGGCGTTTCCTCGAGTGAAAACCCGAGGCGCTCGTGTGATTCGAGATCTCATTGAGATGCTGCACTCTTTCCTCTGTTCTCTTTCTTTTCTTTTCCGTACATTCGAACGCGCGTCTTATATAATCCCACGAGATTTGAGTTGATTCGAATCTCTTCAACGGGAATAGAATATTATCCGCTGTTATGATTAATTAAATATAAATAAAAGAGAATCGCGAAAAGAAAACGAGATATATTCGATTATCAATTTTCCGTAGAGTGAAGGCATTCACGAATCATAATTTCCGATTTCAAAGGCATTTCTCTTTTTCTACAAATTGTGTCTTTTTTCTTTTGCAGAGATATTTCCTCTTAGTAAATAAATAAATACATAAGAAAATCATAAAAGAGTTTCAACTTTCTCACATACTCAGAGAAAAAGACATGATAATGTCGACATGATAATATCGTACTGCACTGAGAAAAAATATTTGATTATTTATTTGTGGTATATAATGTGAAATATAAACTTTTATCCCACAAATAAATTTTCAAACATTTTTTTTCTCAATGTATATAAGTGACAACTATACGAGTATATAGGATTAATATATATAGTTGAATCAATTTATGTTCTACTTATTATAATTAAAGAGCTTTAGTACAATTTTATATATAAAATTTTATATATAAAATGGTCATCATTTATATAGTTGCCAAATTTGTTCTGTGTGCACAGGGCAATATAATTCTCTTTTTCTCTCTCCCTCTCTCTCTCTCTCTCTCTCTCTCTTTCCCTCTCTGTCTCTTGGTTCCATTGCTTTTTTATATTTCCGAATTCAGAGAATCCCCGACATATCTTGTTCGCTTTATCGCTTCTTTATCGCTTTATCGGCACTCACCAGTCCGCCAATCACGGTGTAGAGCATTAGTGTGATCAGCAGGCCCACATGTCCGGCGATCGACTTGAACTTCTGCACCGTCTCCTCTTTGACGAGACGTTTCGCATCCTTGCTGTCCGTCGCGACGCTGCTCGTGCGGCCAAACTCATGCGAATCGGCGACGGATGCAGTGCACTTGTTGCCGCTCGTCATGGCTCGTTCGCGCCCGCGTTTCCCACGTGCGACGTAAACGCGCCGGCCACTCGGAGAAGACTGATCATTCTGCTCCGCGATCTCCCGATACCTTTGTCGTCCTTCGCATCTCAACGCAGTGTCGTGAAAATTACACAGAAGATCGAGTATAATAATATGAACCGATATATGTGCTCATCATTAGAAAAGAAAAGTAGAAAATAGGAAACGTGACGTTATAAAAAAAGACTGCGCGATAATCAACGAAGCCGAAAAGAGAGAAGCTTTAATTGATTTTTATTTTCTAATTTCTAGCTCTCGAAATAAAGAATTACGTGACTCGAAATAAAGAATTACGTGACTCTTACGTGACGTTGAAAACATCTTACACGATTTTGAAAATATCCTTCACGTTATTTGAATTCTGGATCAGCGTGCGAACCTTCGAAGACTCTTGCATTTGATCTCTTTCAACATGTATACTTAAACCCGTTCAAATGCGCACGATGATGGCGCGCCGAATAGTCGAATTCGACTGCGCTCAGTTGATAATGTAGAATTATAGAAAAGCGTCTGCTGTTACCGACTGAGAAGAATTGTGAAATCGGCTATGTAATTCACGTTCATGTTTTATGAACATAGAGGCGCTTCAAAATTAATTTCTGTAACTGCTAAATCGCGTTCGTGGCTGTGTCCTCTGGCTTTTCCCTGGTCATACTTGTAATTAATCCGATTTTAATCGCGTCTAACAAACACTTGGTGTTTCGTGCTGTCATTATGGGAACGTCTGGAAGATATAGATATAATAGTTATAAAAATGTGATCGTCTAGATTTTATCTTTTGAGGAATCTAACCTGTACTGCCCTGCAATACTAAACATATTCGATACTACGGCTTATTTGGGAAACTCCCTTCACAGCTCATGTTCTATTTTTCTGTGTAATTACGTAAAACAGATTTATTTAAACTAAATATTTCTAAAAAAAAAATTATCGTCATATGTATGTGACTCTGGTCCTTTGTGAGAGTTCAATGTATCACATGTGTGATGTTAAAATAAAAAAATGTTAAATACAAAAATTGTACAACAGTAGTAAGAATATGTTAACTTGGCTTACAACATAATGGAAAACTTTTATAATTTTAGATCATGACAACTATAAAGGTACATGGTGGAATCGATATCTTGAGGTTGCCGGTAAATGAAGAGGTGCATGTTTGTCCACCATGGCATATCAAGTATACGCAGTCTCACATACTGCATTCCAAATGCTCCAAAAGTGAGAATGGTTGTAGTAGCAAAGACAAGGAGGCCTGTCAGTTTTGTGTGTATGTATTGTGTCAAGCTTGTCATCTTGAAATATATTGTAATACAGACATGTTAAGGAATATAGATGTTCATTCTTTTAGATATAATAATGCACTAGAGTTACCACATATGCCTGACATGGTATTTCCCAATAATGTATTGATTCTGAAGCATCAGGATGGAGCTTTGCTGCAATTTAATGCTTTGGATGCTCTGAGACATGTATCTAATGGAAAGATCAGCGTACAACTAGCTTGTGCAGAAGCATGGAAGGAATCTAGGTATGTTATATTCTTTTTAATCATACCTATAGCTCTTGTCATATTATGATTCTTACTCAAGTATATGTTAACAGATCAAATAGCAGTGAATATTTGGAAGAAAAAGTAAAACCTTTCGATTGGACATTCACTACCGATTATACTGGTACAACATTTGGATTTGAAGTTGAGGAGACAAATGAGAGGATTAATATGGATAAATTAAGACAGAAAGACAAGATATTGTTTTATAATGATTTAACATTATTTGAGGATGAACTTCATGACAACGGTATTGCTGTGAATTCAGTAAAAATTGTAAGTTCCTTTATAAACAATTTCTTGATAATGTCTATGATGAGATTATAATTCTTTTGATTTTTGTGCTGTGCAGAGAGTCATGCCGAATAGTTTCTTTATATTGTTACGATATTTTTTGAGGATTGATAATGTAATGCTCAGGGTAAACGATACTCGTATTTACCACGAACTCGGCAAAAATTACTTGTTACGCGAGTTCACATCGCGGGAAGCTAAAGTTCAAGATATTCGGGTAAATAATACAGCATGTTCATGGTGACATAATTTTTTCTGAAACATTTAAGTTTTTAACACTTTTATTACCAGTGTTTCACATATATGTGACACCATATATGTAATGGCAGTTTTTCACACATTCCATACTTTCAAGTCTGTTTTACCTTATTATATAAAAAAAACCTGAAAATACAGGTTGTAGGGACAATTTCAAAAAAAAAAAATGAACAATGGTAGTGAATATATTAAGGAATTTATTCATCAGATATGTATTTTCGAGACACTCAGAGGATGTGTTAAGAGAGCTACTCATAAATTCACTATTTATTGGACAAAATTACGTTTGTATAGATTTACTTCATTATCTAAGTAATAAATGTTAATTTTTAACTAATTTCATGATACTATATTGCTACGTTTCACTCAGCGCAATACTCAAAGCATAAAATAGCAATTTGTTGGCTTACAATTGATCATTATACACAAAAAAATGTAGTGAATACTATTCTTTCTTGTATGCATTTTTCCTAATATATAACATTTATAACGGTGAATTTTTTATTTGGATAGGATATCACTTTTTTTGAAGTTACACTAGAATAATTATACAACAATAGTCATTTATAGTGCTTCTATATGTGGAAAATTGCGACATTCAGTATTAAATTCCTCACAAATAAGTATAGAAATTTTAATTACGAACGTATTTCACTGCGATAAATGTTATGTTAAACTTTTGTGTAATTTGAAGTATTTTGATGAATAAATTCCTTAAGGACATAATATTTCCAAAATCGCGGATAACATATAATGTTATACCATTATAAAATACAAGATGTGAAAGCTTAAAATATTATTCTGCAAGGTCTCCCCGGCGCTCTTTCTGGAACCGAGTGAAATAGCGCCCCACTTGCCGTTGATCGGAAGCCAATATCATAAATTGATAATACCTGAAAAAGAAGACGAAACTAAATTAAATGAAGATGCGACCGATTTCCAAGACACGCCCGCGGAATCGCAGAATATATCCGCGACCGAAGAGAAGCTAGTAGAATCCAGTGAACACACAACGGACAACTCCATCACTTAAGACTTTCGCGCTGAAATTTCCGCATTAAGTGATATTGTGCTCGCGAAGGAACATTAACGAAGAACTCACTGTACAGATCACACATTAGTTTTCATACTTTGTCCGTGACAAAATACAGTCGAAAGATCTATATTTACGCATCGAAAATAAAACGAAAAATTTACATCGCTTTTATCTCGGACCGATCGATATCAAGTTCTATCAAAACCGATCTCGGTCTTATCACGCTTGCCATTTTAGTATTTGCAACTTTTTCTTCCTTTGATTTTTTATAAATACTTTCCAAGGAAAATTATCCATGTTGATACGAACTTTGCGATGTAAGCTTGGCGCATCCAAATTATAGCTTCATTCGTGAAGTATATACTCCCATCGTGGATTGAGATGTTATAAAAAATAATAATTACGAATAAAAAATAAAGTGTACTTCCTACACATTCAGAAGTCGTCTAACTAATCGAACATGCTTATCATTAATTATCATCATCGAATAGACTATCGATTTGATAACTTGTCTACGTTGTGATATACTGCTTGCATAATGTTCCCTCTCTACATTGTGCAAAAATGTCTCACACTGTTCACCTGAGGAATCTTATCGTGCTGAGTGTTGCTTTATTATTTATTCACGACATAGACGCAGGTTGGAGTTCAAAAGCGCGTAGAGTCTGCGAACAATGTGAAGATTACTGGTCCCTTCTTAACTTTGCGTTATTTTGCGTCAGATTCATCCAACAGAAGAATCTTACCTACGGAGGTGGAGGTGCAAGAAGGCCAAGATTTTCAGGCGCATTTCCCGAAAGTTTTAAGTGACGAAGCGACGTGCTACGTGAGAACTCCGCTTCTTGTCAATTGCAACCTAAAGCTCCCTGACAGCGAGAAGAATGCAACTTGCGACGAGAGAATCCATTATTGGTCGGTAAACAGCGCGTGCGGTTTCTACGTCACGAATGTACAGAAGGAGGATAACGGAATGTGGAGGCTTACGTCGCAAAACGACGACGAGAGAGTGATAGACGTTATCATAGTCAATGTATTAGGTAAGGCTTCGCAACATTCTTGGAAATGAAGATTTTTTACATTGATCACGAAATGACCGCGACAACGACGTAATATCGCGAATTCTTCTACTTCAGATAAATTCAACATTGAATTGGAGACAAAGGTGGAGTTAACAAAGGGAATGGCATACACATTCACGTTTCCCGACGTCGAAAAATACTGTATAGTACGTATACACTATAAAATTTCGCTATAAGACAGACATATAACAGGAATATGATGGCAAGCAGAAACTCTGCAGATTTGTCATTACATAGCCATGTAGTGTATGGAACATATTAGGCTGGTGCAAACGCATTTATTGTGTTTGCCAAATAAAATTGAGAACGAAATTATCCAATTTCGAAGGATTAATCATTTTTATGAATACAACATTGACTCGTGGACAACATTGATTCTGTATTTTTTTAAACATCTAACGAGAATTTTCGGTTTTCCTTTAAATTCCCAAATTTTCTACATAGAATTAACAAAAAATGACTTTTACACCACCCTAATAGTATAGATTCTGCTCGATTTTTGCCACCATTCTATTCTTTCCTCCTTTGATTTTTCACACAATACTCTGAGAAAAATTGTCGAAATAGATGCAGAATCCACACGATCCCTCCAGTATAGTCGTGAACAACGAATGCAGTGTGGAGATAGAAAAGGTATCCGCGACGGATACAGGAACCTGGAACGCCATTGTTGGCGTGAGAGGCCAAATCGAGGAAGTCGTGAAGAAGATAAACCTGTCCGTTTTTTGTAAGTTTTTATTCGCGCCTACATCTTAAGTCGAGACTATTACGTCACTGTTATCGTTTTATTCTTATTTAGACGAACACGTAAAATCCGGATATATTATTTCTTCCGATCCCGAAGCAATACATATATACTGCAACTACATATCAATGGAAAACCGCTTGAATATGTGTAGATTTGCAGTATCTTCGATCAATCAGGTATTCTCGAAAATTATTCACAAGCTATTAAATTTATTTGAATTTAGCGTGTAACAGATATAGATCACTCGGAAATCCAGAAAGATTTACCGATGTTCTCTTACAGAAAGGATTAAGATTGCGCGAAGGTATGCGCAAGGACAGATACGAATATTACGGCAACGGGCTGAAGATGGGAGAATGTGGTCTAACGATTCGATCTCCGAAAGAAAATGATTACGGGATCTGGCACTGCTTGCTCGACGTGGTGGATAAGCCATCTATCACAACAGTCGTAGAAGTATTAAAGCCCAAGAGTTTTCAGAATCATATAAAAGGTAAAATGGATAAAAGAGGTAAAATAGAGACGGAATAATGTAACAATAACGGCACATACGCAAGGTGTAAATCTTATTAACACGTTGATTGCCACTGTGACATTAAGGAACTTTGCTGCCAAAATCATTTTAAAATTAGCGTATTATTTTAATTTGCATAGGTATATATGCTGATTTTAATATGCTAATTATTCAATAAAATTCACAAGAAAAAAATATCTTTGCGAATTAACTCGTACTTGGCGTATGGAATAAGCGTATGGCAGAGAATTCTTTTCGCACACCAATTACGAGATAACTCGTATTTAACGGTCAACGGTGTAAGAGTAACGGGAACATTTCATTAACAGCAACCACTCTAGCTCGTATATTTACTGTCTCACCTGTTATCACGACCAAAGGAGAAGTTATTAAACTGGAGTGCTCTTCGAATAAGCCTTTAAGCTACTGCTGGTTCTCTCAACCAAACGGGAAAGTTTATCGAACTGAACCGAAATTAAAGGAATCGACGACATTTAGGTAGATATGTGATAAATAAAAACGATCACAATCGCAATAAGATAAAAGTATCAATATGCTAATAACACAATAATATTCTTATTGTTTTGGTCTTTAAATATGAATATTTGAATATTCAATATAGAATATATATACATATATTAAGGGAATATTGACATTGGCACTTTTATCTTAAACATTGATGAAAACCGTTACGAAGGGAGCTTAACAAAACAGTGTTGTTGCAGTAATATGCACGAGGATGAAACTTATTGGTTCGGTAACTGCGAGATCTTGATAAAGAATGCCACACTGAAGTACAACGGCACGTGGACTTGCCATATGGGGCCTGCTTCACCCGGCGTGGAGTTAACCGAAGAGATCCATGTTCGGATAGCAGGTACGAATTGCGTTATTTGGGTTAGACGCGAATGTCCAGCGAACTCGGAATGATACGCGACGATTAACGAATAACGATGCAAATTAAGCTTGCAAACAAGTCAATGATGCAAATTGAATCTTCCACACGGATCTAGAAACACCTCTGGCGGCCATCACAAAGTTTATATCTTACGTTGGCCCCAGGATTATCTTCCAATGCAAAACCGTGCCGCACGCGAAGACACTTACTTACTGCAGATTTCAATCGCCAACTGGATTCGGTATACATGTCAACGAGCTCGTCAATGAAAGCAAGTACGAGATTTCCGTATACATATATATACCAGACTTCAATAGAACTTTAACATTAACTAGCGATCTTTAGATCGAAAATCGCTAGTCAATTTTATTCGTTTGTATCGTATTCAGCTGTTGATTATTTGACGGAAGAACCACGATGCACGAAAGTAACTAATCTATCACTTGGATGACTTATAATACATTGTCTGCCAAATACATTGTCTTGTAATTGGCGTGCGGAAAGAATTCTCTGTTCCATACGCCAACTAAGTTAACTTACATAGATTTCTTTCTGCGGGAATAAGTTTTTATTGAATGTTTTACTGTATAATAAATATAATTAATTATTATCAAAATAAGTATAATATTATTATCAAATAATCACTGATTATAAGATGATATCGGGAACAAAGCTCCCTATATTCCTGTATCAGTCAACATGCTAACGTTGTGATTGGTACGATTTTCAACCTTACATCTCTTTATGTAGGTGTAAGATTGGAAATCTTAACAACTATGTTATATGTGTGTTCAGTCTCTCTATTCTCAGTACAAAAATATCAGACTATATGATTAGTGCTTTTCGAAATGAAGAATTGATCAAGGCCTTATTATAAAGTCTGGTATACATACGTCACTTATTTGCCCCTTTACTTTTACAGTGCCATCGAGCAAGACAATGTGCGTTATTGGTATAGCGGAGAGAGTCTTGCGGCTGGCGATTGCGGATTAGTTGTTGAACCTGCGAGTTTGATACACAACGGCAACTGGACGTGTGCGGCAAACATCGAGTTTCTGGCAACTAACGAGTCATTCGATACGATTTATTTCTCTTACAATAAACCCACCTCAGATGTGAATACAGGTGAGAACATTGAAAGCTTTTTACATTATCTGAAAGTTTTTTTTTTACATTACGTGAAGTGTTACGAAGATTGATTCTCATGTTTCAAATACATGTGACAAATACAGAGAATGATAACACTTCGGCTACCGTCAGTATCGTCTTCGGTTGTCTGGGATTCATAATAGCACTGGCAATCTTAATAGTACTTGGTATCAAGTACAAAAAAAGATTCTGGAATCGCTCTCAAAGTCAGAATGTACGTATAACTATGTTCTTATTTTAACACATAACGTAACATTAATGAATCTAATACGTGATCGTTATCTCTACGTAGGGGGACAATTCGACGCAAAGACAAGACGATGTCTCACTAAATACGGTGCCAACCGAAGTTTCGATTTTTAGTGTACAAAGTATTAGTAGAAATGAAACTAGTAATAGAAATAGTGAAAGTAGTGGTAGTAGTGGTACTGATAATAATACTGGCAGTAGTACGAGTAATAACAGTCCTCAGCTCCCACAAACGCACATGTAACTAATAATTCCTGTTACGTAACCAGAATATATCAGATGCCTATAAGCACCTGAATTATACGTTTTACACCGTTATGTTTTAATAATATTAACGATAACATTGACAGTCCAAATTTTCCATAAATGTTACATTGAACATATATATGTTTTTTATCGCACAGTAATTGAACAATAATCTATATAATACTAAAGATTATTAGAGAATAATAGAAATATTGAGACATTTATTTCTCTCTTTACGATAAGTTGAAGAAGAAAATAAAAATCTTATAAATATTACTTTCTTTTCACTAGATTATTTCTTATTTTTGGTCCACCAACGCATTCTCGCGTTATCTGCTGCATATTATTTGGAAAAGAAAATAGTTTAGATAAATTAGGAACATCCAATACAGGAAAGGTCATAGTCGCGGTGCTATCTCTAAATACTCAAACGTGACGACGCGATTATTTGTATGGTTTAATTCCGTGGTATTACATCACAAGAGCATGCATTGCGACATCGTCCACTGTCGCGTCCTGCCTTCTTCTCTCTCTATCTCTGTTTTTCGTTTGAATTTTAACATCTTACCAAAATTTCAGCGCGCATTAACATAAAGCTGAGTGATCAACTCTTCTCCCTGCGAGCTCGAGATTCCGCTGTCGAAGAAGTAACGTCTTAAGCGAGATTTAGTCGAGTCAAGGGCTACGTGTCCCATTGTTCTCTTGCACGGCTTGACCTTGGGAAGGTCACGCCTGTTACACGCGCCTCACGTACCAGAAATTCTCCGCGCGCCATTCTTTGTGAGTTCAAAGAGAAGAATGCACACGCGAGTTCCGTCGACGAGATATTTTTTCCCCGTTGAAGACTTCACGGAAGAATACATATCGTGTGTACGTACGTATCCATCGATCGGTATCGAGGTGGAAAAAGAGAAGAAGAGAGACTACGAGAGAAACAAATGTCGAGGAACACGCACCGATAAGGCTCCGATTAGACCCTGCGCAAAAGCTCCGGATCAATGCGTTGCGCTATAAACACCATCGCGTTTTCATCCTTCTCCCTCTCTGTCCATCACTGACTGCGAGTAGAAAATAAATATCAAAGGGAAAAAGGAAGGAAGATCTTCTCCGGATGAAAGGAGAGGAAAGGAGAACCGATCGGCTTTCGAGCCGGGGCGCCTTCCATCGTACGTTGGTGTTTATTCGCGGGCGCAAAAAACTTGGATGAATTCCATCGTACAAGCTGGACGGGGAGGAAGGGAGAAGAGGTGAGGAGACGACGACAACGACGACGAAGAAGAAGAAGGAGGAAGAGGAGGAGGATGGAAGAAGCAAACGGCGCGGAGTGAGGGGGAGGAAGAAACGCAACAAGAACAAGAAGCAAGGAGGTCGTCGACGACAGCAATCTCTCGTGAGTAGGCTTATCCCATTGCCTCCGTCCCACCTTATAACGCTCTCACACGCTACCAACGGACGCGTAGGTGTTTCCGGCCGGCTGAAGAAGCACGGCCGTCTGCGCTTGGTGATCCAGAAGAAGACAGTCAATACAAGAAGGGAGAGAGAAAGAAAGAGGAGGGAGGGGGAAAGCAAAAGAGATACACACAGAGAGAGAGGGAGAGGAAGAGAGAGAAAAAAGAGAGACGCAGAAACGATGAAGTGGCGGGCGACGTAGGAAGAAGGATAGAGCGGCTGAGAGGGAAAGGGAGACAGAGGGGCTCGACCGGGAGACAGAGAACACTCGGCCGGAAGCAGTTACTCGCGCGATGTAACGAAAATATCAGGGCGTCCGTTTCGCAATCGGTCTGCCCGCGTCCGCCCGGGGTTTAATATAGAACACTCGCGGCCAGTCCCGTCGCGAAAACATCACGCTGACGTCGACCGCGCGCGCGAGTTCTCCTCTATCTCTCTTTCTCGTTCTCTCCCGCCTCTGCCTACCCACCCTCTCCTTGCTCTTTATTCCACTACGTCTGTTTGAGAAAAACGTCTCCTTTCCACTCCAGCCGTCGCGGCCGCCAGCTCCCGGCCTTCATCATCATCATCATCATCATCATCATCACCATCATCATCATCATCATCATCATCATCATCATCATCATCATCATTTTCGTCTTCGTTTTCCTCCCTTCGGCCAGACAGACGGCGATATGTGGCTCCCTAAAATTAGGCTCGTGTCCACTCGGCTCGGCGCGCCGCCACGGCGGCGAATGACATCCGCGGGCCGAGAGTCGCCGGACCCGTCGAAGGTCTTTGTCCGTGACAGTGGTGTGCTCGCGGTGGCACGTAGGCGACCTTTGAGTATAGCGGGAACCAAGGTGCCCGGCACCGGCGACCACGGCCGGACCACGCCGCGACTCCGCGTCCTTTCGTCTCGGCATCCCGAAGCGAAGCGCGACGAAGACGGTGATGAGAGCGTGAAAGAGAGAGAGAGAGGGAGGGGAGAGGGAGGTAGCCTCGTCGTTCTGTAACTCGAGGGGAGGCGAGGTCGCGCGACGCTTCGCAGATTTTTACCACGATACCTCGAGACTCGAGGACGTCGTTCGATCGGATGCGAAGCCACGAGCGACGTTACGTCACTCCGCGGTCTTTTATCGCGACATCGCGAAACGGGAACGAGCCGCGTTACGCGCGCGCGGGTGTGTATGGACGTAACACATCCGGTCTATGACGTTCTCGTGTCGTGAACGCATCGCCGCTCGTAAGTTTCAGAAGAATCCGTTTTTCTTTCAATCGGCAATTCCGGCTTCAAAAATCCGACAGAAAATAACGTTTTCGATTGCGCGGATTGTAATCGATCAGTAACCAATTAATGACGTCATAAGTCTCTGCTAGCTTATCACAGGCCTTGGTAGACAGGCTATAGAGGCTTGAACACTCAACAGATCGATTCTGGCTCGATCAAAATCCGTGCAGTCGAAAAAGACTGTGTGAGATATGAGATTGTGTGATCGATACAATCTCTAATCATGTCTTCGCTACACGGGGAGAATTTTTTGTAGCAAAAATTACTATAACACTATACTATAATTACTACAATAGGATCTTGTAACCAAGAGACAGATCGATATTCTGCAGTAATGTACTATCCTCTTATCTCATATGTGCTACTTATATTTTAGCAAGTGAAAAATATACTATTGAAACACTTGCTATGTTTCTAGCGAAATTTACCATGTTCTTTAGCTAGATAGACTTAATCGAGTTTGCTTGCTGGACTGTAAACGTAGTGAAATTGAAAAGAATTTATATGAAAAAACGAAATATAATATTCTCTTCGTGTATATAAATATCATTTCTCTTATCTGGTACGTGTTTGATGAATCTCTTGTCTCTGCGCACTCTATCACGTAAATTATTTGTTTTCTTTTTTCTTCTTTTATTATCAAAGCCCATCAGATAGTACTCTATCGTAATCGATAACATTTCATTCGGCCTCGAGCATTCACGTAAATATCAGACTTCTTATCCGTGATATGTTCGAAAAAATAATTTCTATCTCTTGAGATTCATTGAAGCTTAGTAAGACCCAACCTACTCGGCTGTATTTCTCTGTAATGTCTTCACGATTTCTTTCCCGATCCTTCCTACATACCTACGGAATTACTTCGTCCCGAACGCGGAGGGCGTAACGCCTGGCGCGGCTAGAAAGAACAGACGCGCTATTGACAGTCGCGCGACAACTCCCACGTTTTATCTGTCAGATCCCGTCAATTGGGACATACGAAGGAGGTGGAGGACGATGATGAGAGGAGGAAGAGGCGGAGGGAATAAAGGAACTAACGCTTACCCACATAATTTTCACGGGATCTCTAGACATCGCGCTTTAAACACGGAAATCCATTGTCCACCGCGTCCCTCGTGACGCTCCGATATGTCTTTTGACATGCTTAACGAGTCGCCAAGAGAGGGCAATCTTCCGTTGTTGCTGCTGTGTTCGTTCGAGCGTGGAGGAAGGGATAAGTAACAGGAGAGCGGGGTTAGGAGAGCGAGGGGCAGGCTCAGGGGGGAGATGGAAGAGGGAGGGCTGGTACTGGCTCCTCGAGGCTTCGTGGAAGACAACGGTGGTGATGGTGGTGGTGGTGTTACTGGTGCTGGTGGACGGGGAGGCGAAGAAGGAATGCCACTTCCGGTCACATGACACCACTGGACCAGCCGGCCACTTTGCTCTCTTCTTATTTTCGGCTCGTCGCGCGCGTCCGGATCTTTCCACGCCCCCTTCCTCTCGACCCTCCGCTTCGCTCTTTCTTTCCTCTTGATTAACGCGCGGCATCACAAATCGGTCACGAACGAGAGAAACGGACGGCGGATGGACAGATGGACAGTTGGATGGATGGATGAATGGACAGACGAGCAGCCGTGTTTCTTGACTTTCGTTAACGAATTCGTCGCTCGACGGACTCGATAATTTCGGGGTGCACCTGCAAACCACCGGCTCGAGGAATATCATTAGACGACTCAGTCTTCTCACCGCGTCAAAATGTCGCCTCCGTCGTGCGCACGCTATTTTCTCTCGGGTGCTATAGAATAATTTTTGTCGTTCAACAAAGTAACGAAAGAGAGACGCGAGAAGATGTAATGGACATGTAAAATGACTAGATTCTACTCTTTATAAATTTCTTTGGGAAAGGTGAAATCTCATTTAACAAGTGGAACGACGGTCGAGCCGATATTTCACTTCTAGCAGATGTTACTTTCTGCGTTCTTAAAGACCGTCTTAGAATGATATATAAACGTTTAACCAATCACTCAGAAACAGATTCACTGCGATTCAAACATTCACATGTAAGGAATTGAAATTCACTTTGAGTTTGAGTGAAATATTCATTCTCTCACGATTTTAAGGTTTCTGGTCCCATTGCTGAGGAAGCCTGGATTGATGACATCAGAAGCGAGAAAACGCATGCTATTTTCAAGTAAAAAAATTCCTACGAAAAAGTACCTCAGATCGCGCGCGCGCGCGCGCTTAAGAATACTTGTAAATGTCCTAGAAACTATCCTTTTCCCTTGACAATCAATAAATAGTCTTAAAATTAACGTGATATGCAATTTTCCTCCTTAACTTACCTAACCTTACTTTTTTCATAATTTTAACTATTTTAATGTTGTTTATCGACTATTACGGGAAAAGAATAGTTTTCGCAGCATTTTACGAATATTCCTAAGCAAACGAACACCTGAGGTGTTCGTTCATACAAATATCTTTTCATTTGGAAATTACACGCAAGAATGTTTGCCACACAAAAGCATGGCGTCATTGATCCAAAGTTCCGCAGTAGGGTGGAATCAGGAGCTTTAAGTGGCAATATTTTCACCACCGCGCTTCACTCTGACTTTTGACTTCACTCTACTTTGAGACTACTCTACTCTAAAGACTATTCTAAAAGACTCTACTCTAAAGAATATTAATATAAAACCAAATCTCTTGTCTGTGCCTCGCAATGTCGGCCCAATTCCAGTCGAAAATTTCAAGGAGTCAACAGGTGACGCAGAGAACTCTTCTCTGGGGAAGATTCTACTTTGTTACTTTCCACATCGTGACCGAGGAGTCCGTTAATTCCGTTAGCGGTGCAGCACCCTACATGCGCAGCGGCGAGCTTAATCTCCGAGATAATTATTAATTACATCCGCGTGTGACGTATTATAATTCCGCCGTTAACACCTCTTAACAACCGCTATCTCTCTCGAGTTTATCCCTCTATCTAGAGGAAGAGACATAGAAAACGACAGAATAAAAGAAAAAGACAGACAGAGAAAGAGAGGGGGGGGGGAGAGAGAGAGAGAGAGACGCTCTTCGGCTCTCCTTCGCTGCACTGCAAGCAACGCTACGGCAGAACTGCATCACGAACACGCCGGACTAACGGGCTTACATCCGTTCGCTTCCTCCGCCGCGCGCCGTGGTGCATTCAATCGGCCGCTAATGATGATCTGGAGCCACTCGGTAACGATCGCCTTGTCGATCGGCCGCAAAGCAAATATCCGCTGAGAGAGACGCGCTACCCGACGACGCTTCGTGCTAGTCCCCCGACGACGAAGGAGGAGATCTTCGTAAGGATATATTCCTGAATGTTGCACGACGCGCGGCGATCAAGCGGAGACGAGAGGAAAACAAAACGCAAGACCACCGCGGTGCCTTCCGACGTAGTCGCTGTGGTTTCCAGCTGAAACACTCCGCAGTTCCTTCTCTCCTCTTTTCTTCTTCTGTTTCCCTCTTTCAGACGCGGGTGAAGTACCGATACTTCATTATGATCCTGCCTCTTCTCTCTCTCTTCCTCTGCCTTCTTCACATTCTGCCCTAACTTATTAATTTTTAGTGCTCATGTATGTGCTGTTTAATCTCATTAATCTTTAGTTCTTAGTGTACATGTGCGGTTTATATTTCAGAAACTGTGGCGTACTACTGGAAAAATTGTGTACATCCCTTGGCAAGATCAGCTCCACCGACAGTCTATTCCTGTAAAGAGTCTGCTGCTCTCGCGAGACACGGTGAAATTCAGAGGAATTTCATGTGGAAAAAAGGCTGTAACATTCCCTACGTGTACAATACAAGGTGGCGCGCGGAGTCACCATCTGGTCCCGTAACATTTGAATGCGCGCAAATAAATAATCGAGGCGAAATGCCAATGGTGTAATGACACAAGGCATATAATCGACGACGATACATCTTCGCGCGCGGAGCACCGCAGAAGGCCGTTATTTATCTTGCGCGTATTCAAAGGCTACGAACTACACTTGTACACGCGAGAACAAAGAAATTAGCCGGCCACGTTAGCCGGCACTAACGTGGGCCGCAAAGTTAATCGTCAGCTGGAACATTCGCATTGGAATTAACAGTTGGCGCGATTGTTGCGTCTTGAGCGGCCGCACGTTCAGTGTGTTCTATTCTGACTTGACCTTGATACGCGATCGCGAGGAAGGATGAAGGAGAGAGGGAGATTTTGAGGGATCGAGAGCGTTTTCGAGGTGGATAAACTGCTTCACGAAAACTGTCTTCTGCGAACGTGCTGGATATATAAATGCACAAGTATATACATAGTCTATGTATGTATGTGTGTGTACATATATATATACATATATATACATATGCCTACATATATATATATATGTATACATATATATATATTTACAAGTCATATACAGAAGCGTATAGACTTAATATTAATAAAAACTTATCTTCTTTCGCTCGTCGAGACACACCCGCACGCACGTGCGCGTACAACGCGAGACGCACGCGCGCGCGAGAGCCATACATATCGCGCACATGCATACGGTATACATACACACGCACGCACGCCTCGCGTTCCATTCACGCCTGTTACCCCTCGTGTCCTTTCGCGCCTCTGCCAGTCGATCGGTGTGTATGCATGTGTGTGTGTGTGTGTGTGTGTGTGTGTGTGTGTGTGTGTGTGTGTGTGTGTGTGTGTGTGTGTGTGTGTGCAATCGCATTGTCTTCGGCGAACGTCTACGTTCAGGCGGCAATCTCGATTCGGGTCGTGCATAAATCTCGCCGATCTCGCGATCGACGCGCATTAAAAGAAGGAGAAAAGGAGGGAGTCAAGGGGAAAAATGTGCAAGCAGGACAGAATATCGCGTTGTTGATCTCGCAACCGACACGCAGGTCGATTCTCAAATGGCACGGTCAAATTTCACCTCTCGATATATCCGATACATCAATATATGCTTTTATGCTTTACTATCGATATGCTTGGTAGATATTCGTACAGCGCAACTGACTTTCGTCGTACCATTTGAGACTCGAGGACTCGACGGACGTTCGCTGAAGGGCAACTCCAATGACGCAAAGACCAGAAAAGCGCGGTAACAATCAGCTTTGTTTTCGTTCTAAACTTATATAGATCCCCGCCTCAATTCTGTGTTCCTGTTTTCGACTCTGAAACTTGGAACCGCAATCAGACGAGGGATCGCAGGAATGGTTGCTTCAATTCTTTTTATGTCTAATGGACTTTTACAGTTTTTTTTTTGTTACATTTTAAGTAATTTTATTTTTTAACAGGAACCAGTATTTTTGTAATCATAATAAACTATGACAATTATTTCATTGATATAAGAGGATATCATATATGTGTGTGTATATATAAACATATGTGTATGTGTGTGTATATATGGTGAGTAGACAGGAAAAAGGTTAAAAGAGATTCCAAGATCCAAGAAATTGTCTTGTCGTAAGAAGAATAAAAATCTGACATCTTTCGGGCGTTTGCGTTAACTCGCGCGCTCATCATCTATTTCATCGGTCTTCCTGCGAATTTAGGAGGAAACGCTCTTTAAAGAACAGCCGGAAGGGCCGTTGATACCGTCTTAATTGGCTTAAGAGTCGCGAAAGGACAGAGGTTCGTTCGTTTCGCTTCGATATTCGCCGTTCCGGTTACACTCTCATGTTGCACTCTCTTTGCAATTGTCTCGCATCCGAAATCCCGTCGGAGTTTTCCTCACGTCGTCTTGCCGCATTCCCGCGTACTAACGCTCTTCCCAAAATCTCTCTTTCTCTTCCATCGCGTCTACGCTCTTCTTGTTGCCATTGTTCGCAATACCTGCCCTTTGCAAGAAGGGTGAGCGAGCCGTCGAAAGATAGAGAGAGAAAGATAGAGAGAGAAAGAGAGAGAGAGGAAGGAAGTGAGAGGGAGAGAAAGATGCCGAGCTACTCCTCTGGGGTAGAAATTGCGTTCGATATATATAACGTTGTTGTCGCGGATCCCGAAGTCTACCGATGGCTCTATTCTTAAATCGCGCCAGTCACATGCGTGTGTCGTTCGAGAAAGCGAGAGAGAGAGAAAGAGAGAGAGAGAGAGAGAGAGAGAGAGAGAGAAAGAAAGATAATAAAATGAGAAAGAAAAGTGAAGAAACGAGAAGACAATTTCTGATTCGACGAGGAAAAATACGAGTGTGTCGCTTGATAACATTCGGGGTAGAGAAAGAAAGATGAAGAGCTGAGAAGAAAATTCCAGGCTCGGTGAGAAAGAGTGCGTGTGTATCCGCGATGTTACCGATTATGAGTCCCTATTTATAGCGGACGAAGGCGAAGAGGGGACCAGGCGTAGGGGATTCCCCCTTTCTCGCGTCTCCGCTCTCGCACGCGCGCACGCCGCATGGCCCGTTTCTGAACGACAAACGCCAACCGAGAGAGAGAGAAACGCTCGCAGGACTAGATAATACTGGAGAGAAAAATATCGACGAAATGGAAAGTCCTCCTCGTGACGCTACACGCGCGCGCTTCCACCCTTTCCTCATCGACTCCCTTGCCGCGATATTCCCGTGGTTATCTACAAATCTTACGAATACAGTCGCGTCGTACAGTAAGAAAATTCTATTGCCTTCCGTTGTATCTTTCTCCGTTTCTTCCTCTCTCTCTCTCTATTTTATGTTTTCTTTCTTTCTTTCTTTCCCTCTCCCACTAACTTCCGTCCTTTTTATCGCCGGAAAAGCTTTGTTACGCTTATGCGGGCTTCACTCAGCAGCCATATTGGTCCATGTCATTGGTACAATTTGCCTTACGCCTCCTCCTCCCCCACTATTCTATACCAATTCGCATCTCGCTCTATCATGAACCATACACTTAGCGTTATAGCCGCAAATAAATTAACCGTAGAAAAGTTTGTTCTTTATACAAACGTAATATACAATATACATTTCTATCTATCTATATATATATTTATATATTTATATATATATATATATATAATATATACTTTAACTTTTTTATTTACTCTTTGTGTGACGTATCTGTGGTGTGTTTGTGTATGTGTGTATCTGTCTATATCTGTGTGTGTTCTGTGTGTCTTTCTCTGTGTGACCCCCTCCCCCCGACCTCGATATATTACTGTCCGCCCGATTTCACTCGACGCGTGAATACGTACGCGCGCGTACGATGCGTATAATTCATTATGTATAGAGTTATCTATGCGTAAGTGGTATGTCTGGACGATACGCTGGCTCTCGCGTACCTCATTCCTCTCTACCGTTCGCCATACAACGCGCATGCAAACGCACGAAGAACACGCGTACACGACGCACATGCGAGCTCCTCTCTACTCTCATACACACATCCATACATACGCACGCACTGTCCTTCTTACACTCTCGCACCCATATGCGCACACGCACACACACACATACACACACACACACACACACAGACGCACACATACATACACGCGCGCGCGCACTTTTCGTTCATGGAAGAATAATAAATAAAGATACTCGCGATCGACACGTATCAGACGTACAGTTTCGTCAAAATCCGGTATCGTTCTCCTCGACATAAATGCAGCTCTTGTACTTGATGCAATTCATTCTTGCTCCCTCCGCGAGCTCACGCAGCCTGCTAGTTCGTCAATGCGACAGAGCTCACCAGCCACGACGTTCAAGCTCTCATCCGACTTGGATACCGCGCCTATCCCTTCCTCCGATTACCGGCGAGAACACACGGGCACACCTTACAGGTCTCTTCTGCACTCACAATTCCGGCGTGACCGGGTCCAACAGCCTCTTCTCCGGGTCCCTGGAGTCTCTGATGTCACCGGCGGTCGGGTGATGCCTGCCGCCGGCGGAGCCGATCGCGTTGGGGTTGCAACGGCAGCCCTGCGCCGCGTAACGCGCATAGCACGCCTCGCAGAGAGTAACGCAACCTTTGAACGGCCAATAGCACAGTAGACAAGGCATGATGAGCGTCAAGGCGCCCAAGCAGGCCCATCTAGAGACTCTACGATGACCGGTGCACGAACACGGCTCATCTGAGCAACTCGCACCGACCTCGCCGTCCACGCCGCTGGCCACACCACCACCGCTGCCACCGTCCACGCAATGGTAGAAGAGACCTTTGACACAGCACAGGCAGGAAGCGTAGTCCAACACGGTCTCGGCCGAACAGAGACACGTATTATCGCACAACCACTTACTGGGTAACGGGGGTGGCTGACGGCACGACTCGCACCGGCACTTGTCGCAGAAGTCGCATATGATTGACAGACTGGCCGGATCGTAGGGTGTCCGCGAGCCGAGGGTGTTAGCGGGCTCTTTCGTGAAGGACACCGGCTGCTTTGTGACGGCGGTGCCCGTCGCCGTCGTCGTCGTCGTCGTCGCCGACGTGGCGATGGAGGAAACCCCGGTCGAGGCGCCGCCATTGAAACCGCGCAGACCCTGATGATGATTCCTCGCGCGACCACGTGTTCGATGCGTTGGCACCAACGCGGTGTCCGTCCCACCTTCGTGACCCCGGAAGTGACGATGGTGATGATGGTGATGATGTCTCCTCTCGATTTTCGGGCAGTCGCCGACGGCCTTATTATTAGCGTCGAGGCGTCGTTCCTGATTGCAGCACGAGTGCTTGAACGGCGCCTCGACGTACTCGTTGTTGGTCCGCTCGCCGCTCGGTCGTGGAGTGGCTAAGCTCACCTCACCGAGCGTACTTCTAGCCGACGACGACGACGACGACGTCGTCGTCGTCGTTGTCGTCGTCGTTGCCGTCGTCGTTGCCGCGGCATCCGCGGGTAACGCCAGCAGGCTCCTGGAATTCGCGTCGCTCGACGTCTCCACGTTCTGCGGACGACGCAGGGCCGGCCTGCTTCGGAAGGAACTCGACAACGGAGTGAGGGGCATGGTGAGGGGTGCTAGTCGGGACGTCGGCACCCCGGGTACCGACGCCGTCGTCGTCACGTTCGACTGCGGCGGGGGTGGCGGTGGCGGCGACACAGACGGCAATCTAGGCGGCGGGAATGGCCGACTATGATCGTGCACGCACTCCTCGTCAAAGACGGGACGCGAGTGATGGTCCGCGGCGTCTTCGCCGGTGCCGCAATCGTCACCGTTGCTGCCGACGGTGGTGGTGGTGGTAGTGAAACCACCACCGGCGGCATTGCTCGCTCGTGAGGAAGGATGCCGCGTGAGCGGCGGTATCGCATCGTTACGCGACATCGGCCGACCTCTCAGTTCAAGACGGCCCGCTGCTGTTGCTAGGCTATGCGTCGTCTCCGGATGACGCTGCTGATGCTGCTGATGCCAGTGATCCTGATGACACTGCTGCTGCTGCTGCTGCTGCTGCTGTCGATGCTCCACCTTTTTCGTCGCCTCCAGCTCCTCCCTCTCCTCCCGACGATGCTCGAGACGGATACCAGCGGTGCTGGCTGGTCCGCGGACTTCTCGGTCCGCTGTGGCGATGAACGTAAGTCCACCTGGTGTGTTTGACACCGTTGCTCCGGCTGCTGCTGATAACGACGGTGATGATAATGATGATACTGCTGCTGCGGCACGACCCGTCCAAACCGGTGCCGCCCGCTCGCTAGCCCATTGTTCGACGGCCGTCGGTGATGTACCTGGGACCGATGGACGCTGACTTGACGTTGGGGTAAGTGTCGCCTCGGTGATCCGCACTGCCCAGCCCGCGCGAGGTGGTGGCACTCTCGACGAGGGCGTTCCATTAGCGAGGATGGGGCTCGGTAATGCTCCGCGTCCGCTTCCTCTCGCCCTCGCGACACGCGCTTCATCCCCACCTGAAAGCATCATAATCAAGACGTCGTGATTAAATATTGTGTATAGACGAGGGTTATGTATTCATCGGTCGGGTCAGCGTACGAACATTAGTGAATCATTTGTTAATTAACTAGCTAGCTGCTAGTTCTCGAGTAAGATCGACTAGCTAGCTTCGTTTTTATTCGGGATTCCAATAACGATTCGCTTTTTTTCTGAACTTTCTGTACTTCTTTTATAACGTTCTATAAAAAATAGATGATTCCTCCAGAGAACACCTTCCGGCTGTTAGGCAACCGGAAGGTGTTCTCTGAAGTAATGATTTAACTGTATCGATATCATATAGAGTAAAACATCTAACTATTGACACTCTAGGGAAATCTGGTTCTTCTCACAATCAACGACATTTGTTGTGAAGTTAATTGAAAGATTTTCTCTTGGAATCATAAAGTGCAGGTAAGAAGTTTAACTGCAATGCGCTGGTCGCAAGAGAAACCAGGTTTTTCTGACAAGTCAATAACTAAAAGGAATGCCAATAATTGAGTATTGCATACTCTGCCATCGTATTTCCGCGCTATTTTTCGTTAGGTGGACGTTCTCACAACGCGATACCGTTCAAGGGAATTCCTCTCCAAGGCAGTGGGCGAGAATCGCGATTTTTAATGCTGCCCGGCGGTTCCAGCGCGGGTGAAAGTGAAGCTTGAGGGCGGAAGGTTGAGTCGCGAGGGACTCTGCGAGTTTCCGTGCAACACGAAGAAATTGGGATGGCCTGAGCAACGGCGAGGAAACGGACGAAGAAACGAACGGGAGTACACGAGGAGGCGTCGGGTCGGCTCTCGGATCGGCTCCGGCACCTACGCGACCGCGGCCGCGCGAACGGAGCTTCGGTTTCTACGTGGGCGAGAACGCGGTGCGCGCGCGAGTGGGCCGCGGAGTTCTCGATTCGGTGGTCAGCAACCCACTCGCAGCGCCCACGGCTTCGCAGCGCGGAGGAACAGAGGAGCGGGCCTCGTTCGAGCGCGTTCGACCGACCGCTTCCTCCTCCTCATCGTCGTCGTCGTCGTCGTCGTCGTCGTCGTCGTCACTGACGACGCAAGCACACGCGCCGTTATACTTTGCGGCTGAAATCGCCTCGGCTTATCTCGCGAAACTGCGCCGTTGTGCTTTAAATTTGACTTTTATATTTCCGTATGGTAAACCAGATGTAATCAGGTTACGCTGGCGAGCGAGCGAGCGAGCGAACAAGAGAGTGCACACTAAGAGAAAACATGATTAACCTAACTAATATTATAGAGTTACTTCTAATTGTAACCACACAAATTTTGTGTTTTTTCTAACGCGAAAATGATAGTATGCACATAAGATTATCATATGTTATTATAGTATTATTACTATAGCATTATATTAATTATATTATAGCAACATTATAGTAGAATTTAATAAAAAAAAAGAATGCTCTCTTGACCAACTCTTATACATATAAAATAAAGTACTTGTCTGTATATTCCCTGTCAACTTATTTGACCAACTTGGACGAAATTTAGCATAGTTACTCCCTAGGGCCTTGTGGAAAATATAGGCTGCATGAAACCTGGACCCACCCACTCCCTCTCTCTGATTTGTGACACTTCGTGACAACCTGGGCAACACCAGGTAATTTCAGCTAGTAATTTATAATAATTATTTCTCTATGCGATTGTAATTACAAAAATACCAGACATTTTATTCTCAGTGTGAGCCAAAGAGCGTCGAGTCGTCGTGCTTTTCTTGGGCTCGGGCACGACCTCACACTTGTTCAATTATTTATACTTCCGCCCGTGTGAGCGTAATGTACTACGAGCGACAGATTGTTCATAATTTTATATCGCGAGAATCCGAGGGAGAGGTGTCGCGCGATCGAAGCGTCCGGCCGACGCGACGAAGAGAGAGTGGAGCTCTCTCTCTTTCTCATCTCTCCCTTCTCCTCTGTCTCTTTTAATATCTAACTCCAGATACTTTGTAAAACATTATCCCCAACGCCACTTTCCGAATATTATACTTGCTATTGCCATTATCCGTTAGTAAATGAAGTTTTATAGCCTTTGAAAATATCCCAAAAATCACAGGTTAGATGCGAACAGGTTCAAACACGTCTGATAGAGATGTGCGATATATATTTCAGGAGATTACCAAAAATTATTATATTTAATATCGATTATCATTAATATTTTAATAAAAAAAATGTAATGACAATGATAGTCTTATTGTTATATGAAAAAAATGTCAATAAATAATTATAATTAATTAAATGTCCAATAGCACATCCTTATGTATTGCGTGTCTTAAATCACTTTTAAAAACGTTTAAAAATTAATAATTCGAAAATAAATAAGTCTTGTAAAATGTTTCCCATTTTGTCCTGTGTAAAAAGCATAATGAGGTTAGGAAATGATATTTTTAAGAAAACATTTTTTACTTAATTTTGCTTTCATTTTTAACTGTTCTTTCATAGTAAATCTTGTGTTTTCTTATAGTGGACATTTCAAAGAATATTCTGATTTAGTACAAAAAGAGAGAAAGAGTTGATTTATTTATTTTTAATACATTCAACATTTATTCCATCATTACGGTTCCCATCATGCCTCGGGTATGATTAAAAGCCGTGTTAGAGCGATATAAAATCATATTTGCCATACAAAATTATGATGCGATATATCGCGTTCATTGCGATTCTTAGGAAAGATTGCATCGCGATACACAATTTCATAAGTCGCACGTCCCTACTGCCGTGGCCGAGAGGAGCAACACCGGACGCGAAGCGAGCTATCGAAGGCGCGCAATCGCGCGTGTGCGATCGCTCGATCGCGAGCCACTCCCGGTGTTACGTACGCGCGCGAGCTGCGTTCAAAATTATATTGTTGTTGCGCGCTGATTGCATACCTGCGCCGCCGTGCGCGTATCCGTCGCGTCGCGCGCTCGCTCGCTCGCTCGCTCATTCACCTAAAGCGGCGTCAGCGCGCCGCGGTAATTGAGGAACAGCTGCCAGGACTCGAGAGACCGACGACGTAAGCGCGGTAACGGGCTGCTGCTGCTGCTGCTCGCTCTCTCGCCCTCGGCGCGTTCAACTTTCAAGCTCGGCTCCGCGAGCGAGTGAGTTCGCGCGCACGATTATTACGCGCCTTCCGAGAATTGTGTGTATATCGCGATCATTAATCGTGGATGCTCCGCGAGAGCTTCCTTCGGCTCCGGTTTATCAGTCGCTCCACTTCGTCGTCCCCCTGGCGTAAGCGCCCGCGATTGTATTAAGGGTACCCATAAGTGTAATCGAGCATCTCAATATACACGGAGAACACGAAGTTTCTTCACCAAGATCTACTTTATTTCGCCGAAGTGAACTTCATCTCACGGATAAACGAAATGAACTTTAAATACTACGAATAAATTTTTAAGCATCTTTTCTCAGTGCGAAATATTCGACGATAGTCTTAGGAGTCTGTAGATAGAGCTTATATTTCTTAATCAATAAGATACATATCCAGAAAGTATTATCTTATCTTTAGCGGAAATTCTCTTCTACGTACGGCCTCAAGAGGATTCTTCTAAAACCAAAAGGAAAATATCGTAAATACGACGTTATTTCTCTTTTCATTAGAAGAGAAATGCTCTTTCAATAAAAGTTCTTGATTAGAATATAGGATTACAAGAAATAGCATCTTATGACTAGAATTCTTTCCTTCTTCGAATGTTAGAATATTTTCCTTTTAGTTTAAGAAGAAAATCTTCAAGTCTTAATCTGATCCTGAGGATTCCGCTAAGGGTGATAATATATTTTTTTGGTGTAGTAAATTAAGTATCTTATCCAAATATTAAGAAAATATACACTAAGAAAATATACTACACAGTTCAAGTTGACAAGAAATTGATCAGAAAAGTCTTGTAGATACCTGATTATGTTCACACATAGAGAAGAAAAACTGGTCGAATTAACATGACAACAACAATCGAACGCGACTTGAGAAAGACAAAATTTCTGTTTCTTATGGAGCAAACTCGATTCTCGAAGAAAACTGAATTTCTAGTTTTTAAGGGTCGAGTTTGCATAAGAAATAGAAATTCTGTTTCTCTCAACCAAATCGCGTTCAGTTGTTATTGTCATGTTAATTCAACCATTGCTTATTGGTGTCATAGTATCAGTTGTTATCATGCCGCGATTAATCTTTTTTCTCTATGTGTAATCTTTTTTTTCTATGTATAATATGCTTAATATCGATCCTATTCCGCGAACTCTCGCGACATCCGTTCCGCTATCTCTCGAATCGGAGCTGACGTTTTATTTGCGTTACTATATACGCGCGCGCGGTCGTAACTGCATCGATGCATTTTTTACCGTCGCAGCGACGAGCGCGACGAGCGTGCACCGCGACCGGCTCTCCTCCAGGTGGAGAATCAAGTATCCTCGAGCGATACATTATTAAAAAAGTCGTGGGAAGATCCCTCGCTCTCTCAGATTTCATTCAATATCTCTCGCTCCGCGCATCGTAACAGGCAGTCCTCCTTCCTCGTAAGTCGACAGCGTGCAGAAAGAAGCATTCCGTAACGCACATGCACACACTTGCATTTATACATATGTGCATACATATATAATATATACATGCACGCATTCACACGAGACACTCGCTCCTTCGCGTGCAAATCAGAATATGACATTGCTAGTTTCTCTTCGGCCGTTACCACCTCGATATACAAAGAGGATTTTATAGTAAAAATTACCCTAGAATTTTATAACCGAGGAATTGATCGACACTCTGTAGTAATTGACTATCCTTTCACTTGGTATGTAAAAAGAAATATATATATATATTTTTTTTAGCAATTGAAATGCACGGAAGAAATGTTTAATTGAATTAACAAAATTTCTGGTGAAATATGAACGAATCAGAAAATTTTGATTGAAATTACCAGAATTCTCTGATTCGTTCATATTTCACCAGACACCTTTCTTCCGTATGTGCTATTGAAAAATTGTTTGTTTCTTAGCAAGATA